CATTTATCTCTACCACACTGTCTTGTTTCAGTAAAATAGGTCACAATACGTACACGCTCTTATCGCTGCACTAAAGAACTGAAGGTTTGTCTGCTACAAACTCGTTCACAAGATTCATCATTGCAATCCAGGTTCTTCTAAAACAAGGTCTAAATTGCCAATATTTTTTTCAGCTTGCTTAAATGCAACATTCATAATTGAGCATGAACCTTAATTTTTTATTAGCAAATTATATATTATACTCAAATTATTGTTCGCAATTATATTATATTACTATTATTATAATTATGGTAAATTGCATCTGTGTGATAATCCATAACAATAAAAAAAATCTGTTAATAATCCATTAGAAAGTTCGAATTTGTAAAAAGGTATAGAAGAAAGTCATAGGTCTCAAATGATTCATTGTACTTTCTTCTCATATTTCATGCCACCAAATTTCTTATACGTTTCTTTTAGATAGACATTTAATTTGTTTAGTATATTTTTAATTTTGTGTGAACTCCTCCAATCCAAAATCTAATTAGATAAAATATATACGGACATATATTCTACATTTATGTATACTAATACCATAAAAAGAAGTAGGTAAATTAATTTTGTTACAAATTTAAAAAGTAGGCACATTAATTTTCATGTAATTATACAGTAGGTCAATTATTTTCATAAAATTAAACAATAATAGATATTGTTTTCAAAAAAAAAAAAAAATTAATAGTAGGTAAATTTTTTCATGTAATTATACAGTAGGTAAATTATTTTCATAAAATTAAACAATAGATATTGTTTTCAAAAAATTAAGTTTCATAGTAGGTAAACTATTTTCATGTAATTATATTGTAGGTATAAAATTAAACAATTGATATTGTTTGCATAAAATTAATTTTTATAGTAGGTAAATTATTTTCATAAAATTAAACAATAGATATTGTTGAAAATAAACACTAAGTTAGGTATATTCAAATTGAAATTTATTGTTGAAATTTAAAAAAAAAATCCAAATTAATTCCTCCATCTAGAACCATATTTCATGGCTACAAGACCTTGCCAAATTCAATGCATGTGATCAATTAAAACAAAATTACAAGAACTTTCCATATTGGCTTAGATGGGGTATATTAGGGATCCAAAAAATATAAAAACGGACACACAAACTTATTTGGTAAGTTGCTTAGTTGGATCCTAATCATTGGGTTTTATTCGAATAAATATTATATGATGGGCTAGAGGCTAGAAAAAATGAGTTTGGAGGGGGAAAGTTAAATTTTCAGTTTTTTTAATACAAAAATATATTAACATTAAGAAGGTGGATGAATGAATTGGTATATTAAACTCGTCATCTACGAGTTTCGAGTTTAATACCTCTCACTTATAAATAAAAGGGAATACCACTAATACCTTTTTTTCATGGTACTTCTAATCAAACTTATTATAGAAATCCAATAAAACCGTTATTTGCAACCATCAAGGGGTGGTCCATTAGTTGGAGATGAATTCCAAGTCTGATTTCACACGGCGCGTCTTGAATTCTATTCTTGACACTGTGTATACAATGATGGTCATATGAGGTTGAAATTAATGCCTCTCCGACCCTTCAGATTTCTCACAATCTTGTTTCTTAAATGTTTATCAATCTATCTATTTCATTTTTTTTTCATCTGATGTAATGTTCACATCCCACACAATAAATGGAAAAATTGACCTGCATTAAAGAAATAGAAAATTACTTATAGTTTTCTTTATTTTTATTTTTTTTATCAAATTAGTTTTCTTTATTTGTTCAACACACTATATCTTCTCTACTAATTAATAAAATCCTCTTTGTCAACTAAAAGAGGGTAAAAAGACCAATTAGTCTTCTATCACACACAAAAAATGATAGGCAATAATGTAATTTCACAGGTCAAAATTTTACTGTTTTTATTGAAGCCTCACCTACAAGTGAAGTTAAAATACCTCCAATATTAAAAGTAAAATTTAATAAAAAAGACCAAAAACAAAAATCTTCCACTTCCCCCTCCCCCCCCCCCCCCCCGGTTCTCCTTCTCCCTCTCTCCTTCTCATTTTCTAAAAAAATGTGTTCATACACACACAATGTGTAGGCAAATGTTAGTATTTACAAAGACAACATCAACTGTCGACTCTAACTTTTGATATATTAATATAGATATGATATGGTACATAATGTGGCACATATATGTTAAAGCAAAATTTTCTCTTTTGCTTTTTGTTGCTTCGATTGATATTGGTGAGTCGTTCAGTTGTTACAGTCTTCCCGTACCCATATACTCCCTTAATTAGTGTTTTTTAGTTTTAGGACACAGTTTAGGGCATCACCCTTTGTCCATGTCCTCCAAATATCCTAACCTTAAACCTGTCTGCTTCTATAAAAAATAAAAAAATGAAAACCTCAATCTTGTTCTTGTCTATCCCTCTCTCGCCCATTTTATAATAGGAAAATTAACAAAAAGTTAAAAAAAAACTTCTCTTTTAATGAAAAGTTATTTTTTAAAGGCATAGTGAATAGTACCAGAGAAATGTAGTTTTTCGTTAAAGGTGAACAGTACCGGGAGTGTTTTGTTAAAATTCCCCTTTATAATTTGTGCTTTTCTCAAAGGGTATTTTTTGAAAAAAAACAAAATATAAAAGTATGGAAAATAAAAGAAGAATCCATTCGTACTGCAATTTATTGTTCTTTCTTAATATTTTGTATGTAGTTATGTATAAATTAAATTAATTTTGTGGTATACTAACATGTTTATCCTTCTTAATATATAAATGTATGTGTAATATTAAAACAATGAACAAAATATATCCAAAACTAACAATAAAATATAAAAGTAATTAACAAAATATACAATATGAGTAAATAACAATAAAAAAAATTGAAATATTTCAGAAGGTTTTCTTATTGGAATAAGTCCAGAACACTTTGGAAAAATTCAGATAAAAATTTGGAATTATCGATATCTCTAAGTGCATTTCAATTTCTGTTCTAATTTTTCAGAAAATATTCTAAATTTCATGTTTGGATTTAGAAATTTTACTGTTAGAATCAAAAACACTATTCCAACTTCCACCCTTAAGGCACACGCTCTTTAGTGTGAAAGAAATATACTTTTTGATTTTTTTATGAGAGTAGTGATTTTTTTGTAACGGGTTAGAAGTTAAGGAGAGGAGAAAGAGAGAGCACTACTTCATAAATAAATAAATAAAAAAGAAAGAAAGAGAGAGCGCTCGGAGAAAAGTGTGGAAGAGAGAGGGAGATGGATGAATGGGAATTACTTGGCTATGAGGGAGAGGAAAAAAAACTATGTGTGTGATTTACTATATTGCTCGTAATTTTATTTTGACTATTTCTTTTAGTTGTGTTCATATGATTAGAATGATTTTCACCCCTTTTTTGATTAACAATGAAAATGCTATTTTATAAATTCAAAAATATCCCGATAAAAAAGAAATAAATTTAACACAAACCCTTTTTTATGAAACACACATACAATGCAAACATGTTTCATTACTTCATTTAGAATAGCAAGTTAAGAATAATCAAAACACTCGGACAAGATAAATTTGCTTGCTATACATCATGTATGCATGTAACGTTAGCTAAGTTTTGGCCGGCGGTGGTCGATTGTCATAGTAGTTCAAGTCTTCTTTTTTTACTTATTGTGTCTCAAGGTCAAATTTTTTCTCTAAATCTCTTAATATAAATTAGTGTAATATATTATTTATAATCAAATAAAATAAAAACTTCGGCATGCCATTTTTTGACAATAGCAGGAATTTAAACTATGAATAACATTGAATTAATTCAATGTCCAAAATGTTCACCCACCATATATATTCAGTGGTACTTGCATTGATTACTACATTTCTTATTTTTCTGAAAAATTAACGTTTGGTGGGTCACAAATTTGAATTCTGCTTGGTGTTGTTTAAAATCATGCCACTGATATCAACTATCAACTTGGCACTAGCTACATTAATGGGAATCATTTTCTTGTTTGACATTTGCTTGTTCTTGCAACATCTTGATCATATATATAGGCTAAGCTTTCATACATTACATTAATGGGAATTCTTTTCTTGTTTGATATTTGCTTGTTCTTGTAACATCTTGATCATATATATAGGCTAAGCATTCATACAAGGATCATTTCAATGTTGATGCCTCGAAATAATTATTGCTGAGAGTATCAATTGCATATCGAGAAAATAAGGGATTGTGCATGTACTTATAAGTAGTTGGGCTATTCTCATATTGTTAATTGATTTTATGATGAAACCTCAATTTTCTTAATGGTATCAGAGCCACTTGTTTGGCGTGTAAAGTCCAACAGCCATATGTGCTCCATGTCACCCGGTGTTGTCCATGTGTTAAGCTTTAAAATTCGTCACACATGAGGAGAAGTGTTGAGAGTATCAATCTCACATCCGGAAAAATAGATATTTTGCATGTACTTATAAGTATAAACAGTTGGCTAATTTCCATATTGTCGATTAGTTTTACAGTAGAACCTAAACTTTCTTTAATTATCAAGGAATAAATACATAATCCATATTCCAATATCATGTAACTTGAAGGAAGTAGTTTTGCATTAAAACTACGTACTTAAATAAAAAACCTAAATCTTGCCCAACTTGAGGGTTGAAATCGACGTTGAAGTTCGTGAGAATCTAAATGGGGGAGGAGGGGTACCAATTGGGAGTTGAAAGATAAGTCCTTGAAAATAAATTTACACCAATACTTCCATATAATGAGTTCATCTAACAAAGCAAACTGAAATCAGTACAACAACTAACTTTACTTCCATAGAAACAAATCATCAGCTAGTAAATCCACAAACAGAATCAGAGAAAAATAAATAAATGAATCAATAGTAGTACTCAGACTACAGATTTATCATTTATAAGCTCGATAAATATTCTCGTTTAGTGAATATTATAAAGTAACAGTTCGTTCTAACAGTTTATATTATTTGACAAGTGAATATTAATTATCGAGTTTTACCCTCGATTTGCAAACGGAGGCGGCGCTTTGGGTTCCAGTAGTGATAGATAGAAATGTTGCAATCGCTATAACTGGTTGCCTTCATCTTAAAGACCTTCAACAAGTTCACCTTGCCATGCAGGGTGGTTTCTGAAGTCAAATTCAGCACTCCAACAGCCATGTCACCCAAGAAATGCGAATCAGTTACCAATTTGTCAGCCAAAATACTCACAACACTGGTGATGTTATGAGTCGAACGAGCCGGAACTGTGTCGTCTCTGATCGGAGCTTCGGCGACAACATTCCCACAGTAGCTGATATGAGCTGTACTATTCTCATACTTGAAGCCTCCATAATTTGGATTTTTCACGGTGACCAATATTCCTATTGATATATTTAACTTTATAAGAGCATCTTTAATGGTTGGGCTGAAAATCAAATATTTTAGCCCGGAAAATTTAGTTTTTAGTCCAAAAACAGTTTTTCTGCTCCAACCGTTCTAGCCTAAAATTTTAGCCGAGATTATTAAAGAATGAACTTAGGCTATTTTTTTTGTTAAATTAAATTTAAAAAAATAAATGAATATGTTGACTATCGTAAATTAATTTTATGAACATTTTAATCTAAAAAAAATTTAATTCCGATAAATATTGGATGGAGTCCACTCTGATTTCTGGGCTAAATTTTAGGGGGAATTTGGCCTTGGTTTAGCATTTAGCATTTAGTCCAAATTTTCCCCTTGGGTTGGATTGGGTTTGGGGAGAAATTTTAAAGGGTAATTTGGCTTTTAGCCCACCATTGAAGTTGGTCTAACGGGAAACCTACTAACTCAAATCCCTCTAGGCTTACCGGCTGGGCGAAGATTGAAGGTTCTTTGGGTTTTAAAATTGTAACGAATAGAACGACTAGAACAACTAAGATGACGATGAAGAGAATGCCCGTGACAGCAGCAAAGATTTTCAAGCCTTTTCAAGAGCCTGCTGCCATGATTAATGTAATTAGGGAATGTCTAATTTGATTGATTTGGATGGATTACAGATATGTTTAATGTTTTATATGCAAAGGTTGTTATGATTTAAACAAGAAAAGAATGTGGTGTGGTGTGGTGTGGTTTTGTCTGGGTTGTATTTTTTATTGGTGGAGACAAAAATAGAGGAGTTTGTTACAGATTTGGATTCTCACCGGATCCCCTTTCTGGGATCCTAGGGATCAACGAACCTGGATCGTTGATAAAAAATTGTAAAGTCCCAATTAAATACTTTTTATATTTTTGAAAGTAAAACACTATTGTTTTGCGTGAAAAATATAAAATAAAAAAATTATGACCGTACGATTTTTGATCAACGATCCATATTTGTTGATCCTAGGATCCTCAAGGGGATCCGGCGAGGATCCAAATCCGTCAATTACAATGATTTTTGACTTTGGAGGACGGTTGGAAGCCATCGTTTTCCATTTTTGTATGTTTGTCATAGGGTGGAAAATAATTTGGGCCAGAACATGTGTACAACTGGGCTGGATCGAGCCTTGAAAGCCAGGCTCATGTCAAACCTTTTTTTTTTTTTTTTTTTTTTTGTGACTTCTTTCCGTGCTTGAAAATTATGTGATCTGTAGTGATTCTTACACCTGTTTTCTTCTTAAGCACTCTTTACCTTGTTTTTGTATTCATGGTTATTTATTTATTTATTTATTTCATTTTGATGCATTGTAAAATCTTTTGTAGTAATTGGCGGGGAGCTTAACGGAGAAGTGCTCACTCTGGATTGATCCGTGGACGTCGTCATTGAAATTTTCTCTGAAACAATGCCTAGACAAAGACGGCGACTTAATGGGAAGGCGATATTGACGTTTTGTTCAAATGGGTACAGTGCTGATGTGTTGTATAAAACACTGTTGTTACGACATGAGTCGTGCCACACTTCGTCGGCATATACCAGTTCGGAAGTGGGTAGGGGATGTATGGGTCTTGTGGCAAGATCGGAAGCAACACTCTGAAGTCTAAATCTTGGTTATAGGAGGAAAATATTGATGTCATTATGAAGCATGAATCTACTTTCTAGTAGCCACCACCGAGTTGTTGCATAGTAATTAACAGAATAAGTATTTTGAGTTTATTGGTTGGTGAATAAAAGTTTGTCCATGGAAAATGCATGAAGGTTGGAATACTAGGCTGAAAAGATAGTGCTGCATGATTTAGGTTTCGCTTCATATCTTGTTGCGATTGGAAGAAGGACAAGAAGAGAGTATCGTATTGACCAACCAATTTTTTATGGTTGTTTTTTGGCCTTCCTACTGAACAGATCGTAGGGGTTTCAGACTAACCCCATGTTTTATGGTGTTTTGTGGCCTTCCTATTTCTTCATGGAAATTCAATCCTTTTGCGTGGTGGAAATGAGAAGGGCTATTTAGCTTGTAAAAAGGATTACAATTTCATGGATTATAATAGATAAGGGTATTGATCTTCACTTTTTATCCCGTTCTGTTTCTTTTATTTTTTGTTATGAGAGGTCTTAAATTCGATTATTGCTAAAACCAAACTCGAACTAAATTATTATAGATAGCCTAATGTGAGGCTTAACCCACTTACCAATTTCTTTGTGTAGCTATTTTTCCCATTGTAATTCTGACAAAGTCGGCAACACAATGGGATTAAAATATGTAAATCAAAACTTAATCCCAAAGAAAAATTCCCCTGTCGTGCACCAGCACAACTAAAACCTCACTTGCATGCTTATTACATATTAAACTTAAAGTGAACGGAAAAAAAATTGTCGTCTTCCTAAACTGGTTGTCACCCTTTGCCACAATGTTCATCCCCTCTCACTTTTGTTCCAAGAAATTTCCCCTACCACTTAGTTTTGCATTATGCATGCATTTCTAAAATTTACATAAGCTATGTCCAATTTTTCGGATCTTAATCCCTTCTCGATCTTGTGAACCTTGCAGAGCAAGCAAAACATAGGGGCATCCAGAATTGTTGATGTGCACATTGACAGTTTCTCTTAACTTTGATTGATCAAACTTTCATAATCTTGCACTTTTTTCTATATTAGCAGATTTTGTGTCGCCTCCATTTGGGTGTATGCAGTTGCCTTCGACTTTGATCCTCGTGACGATCTTCCAGCCGAGGGAGATGACGATTTGACCTTTTTTCGCTTAGGTTTCTTGGGCACATTAGGAAGTTCAGTTGCAGGATGATTTCTGAACATGTCGGATGATGGTTGCCGTGTTATGGGTTGTTCAAAATCTGTCACCCAAAAAATTAAAGAAACAAAAGGAATAAGAAAGAGGTTGAAGTGTCTTCAAAGTGATTCAATCATGCAAATTAAGTGGCACAATCTAAAATAAATTGATGAAAGCACCATGCCACAGCAAAGATTTGACCACAAATTAGTGGGAACACCTAAAATTGAAAGTTAAGGCCAATGACATATTGACCCCCTAATAGTAATGTTGATGCAAACTTATTTTTTACGTATTGACATAAACTTGGATGTAGCTAAAGTTGATTAAGACAATGTATCTTCTATCTTTGTGGTTTAGATTAAATTAGAATATTGCTCATATAAATAAACAATTAGTCTTGAACTGATGGCCAAATCTCAAATTTATCAACCAATTTAAGTAAAGTAGTACTACGAAAATCTCAAATTTAGCAAAGCCCTGTGGACCACCATTACCAAGACTAAGCTAGAGTTTTTCTAAAGGGCCACTCCAAGCTATCATATTCCTCCGGGTAGGAAAGTGTGTGTTGGTCTCGTGACAGAAGATCCAAAAAACTTGCTGTTGGGGCAAAGAATCTTGAAAGCTTTTGCACACCTAATAAATCTCATTACCAATAAACTAAAACATACATTAATCACATTTCTCCTAATTAACTTTTGACCCCGTGAAAAAGACTTGTCTAATTATTGTATTCGCACAACTACACACGATAGGAGGCATAGTTTAATGGAACATATAGTTAGAGCCTTTAAATCATTCATATGATACCCAGGTCCCAGGCTCCCAGCCATCATGCACCTCTGCATTATTTTGCCTAGTTTGCATTCCGCTAGTCTAATCGTATGTACGAGAGAAATTTACTTATGATTGAGATGTCATTGCACCAGTATCTCAAGTTAATCAAACAATATGAAGTTTAAGGTACCATTACAATGGTGTCCTAATAGGTTCTTATCCGTACTACATAGTCATGTCCTTGAAAACACGAAATGCTGAAACTACTGTATAGAGGTGACCAAAAGCTTACCTTGAGAGGACCAAGGGGAATAAGCCATGGGATTAGAGGACCCCATTCGATCACTGGCATTACGACCATGGGAGCTCGTTGAGAAATCGGGTCCGTTTTTAAATTCGCTCATCTGCTTGATTAACAATAATTTAACCCAATAAGAGAATTATGAGAGCATTAAGAAAAGAAGCACATGTTTTGGTTGGCAATTTTGTTCTATAAACAAAACATGGGAGACACGATACGATAAATCAATAACAAGAGAGAGATGCATATGTGGGTTAAGACATGTAGCGAAGCTGTATGTCACCATTTGCATTTAAGTTGGAATCTCTTTGCATAATTTAGAACATTATATTGTTGAGAAGAAGAAAAAATAACAAGAGCGATGTGTACCCAACCGGGTGCGCTTTCAGATGGGCCGTCCCAACCAATGTGTGCTACGTGTTTCACATCTGTTGGGAACCCAATTTCCATTTCACGCTCCTTCACAACTGTAACAAAAAAAATCCATTTTCCAGCATAATTAGCCTTGAATTATCAAAATTAAGCATAATTATTATTTTTCTTACCAAAAAATTATTCTGATTAAACTAATTTAATCTTCGTGTTGGGGGATTCAAATTAAAGATGCAAGGGGCACACTAGCGTCGCCAACTGCTCTAACCAACACTGACAAGGAGAATCGATTTGATACATTAAAGAAAACGAGAGAGAGAGAGAGAGAGAGAATTACGTACCAAACATTTGAGAGAAGTATTTCAAGATCTTTGCCATGGTGGAAACTACACGCCCCAATTGAAACAGCAGCCACTTTAAGGAATGCAGACAACAGGAAAGCAAATTAAACGCCAAAGCTAAAGATTGGAACAGATGGATCCTTTTGCCTGCAAGAAAGTAAATATGTACTTAATTAGATGAGATTTTGCTTAAAATAATCTCAAAGGGGATAAAGGGTAAGAGCAGTATCCAATAAGGTTCACTCACTGCATGTGATTTGGGAACCTTTTTTTCCCTGTCAATGAAGACTAGTATATATCTGACCATGATTTTATAAGATATATGATGCATTTGTGGAAGGAAAAAAAACATACTTTGAGAGGTTGATTGTTTAGAAGAAAACCAACTTCTCCACCATATCCAACCAAAGTAGCCAATTTCCAAGCTCCATCTTTTTACACCAACCTCTTATGGATAGCAAAACATGCGTAAGAAAACCCTTTGGAGTGAAAATCTCTTGGCGCAATAACAAAAACCCGGAAACAAACAACTGATTGAAGCCGATTAAACAAATGAAAATGGAAGAACAAAGAAAAAAAAAGGGAAAAAAAGGAGAAAGGATGGTGCAATGGGATTTATCTGCAAATGTGTAGAGAGAGAGAGAGAGAGAGAGAGAGAGAGGGTAGACAAAAATGAAAACCTAAAAAAACGAAGGGTGTGAAAGACGGGACAAAACTAAGAAGACAATACAAAAGAAAATGGGTGGTGCTCGTTTACTTACCTTCTTTCAGAATCTCTCCGAAAAAATGCAAGAGGCTCGCTATCCTCCAAATAATGCAAGATATACTTAAATTACGGGCTAAAATCTGATACAGAGAGAGAGAAGCTGTATTTGTACAGTCTCTGACCAGACTGGCTTCCAAAAGCAGTCTACCTGGGCTATTAAGACTTTGTTTATAGATTTTAGTACTAGTTTTGAATGCTTTTACGAACAATGGTAAACACTTAAAAACAGCTTATTTTCACAGTTTTTGGTGAAAAAAAAAGCTGAAAACATAAAGCAGCAAAAACAAGCTTATTCTTACAGCATAATAGAAGCAGTTTTTTGTCTAAGCACAGTAATACCAAACCAGCCCTTAATCGTAAACCAATGGAGATTAAGAGGGGAAGGGAAGTCCCTTTTTTAATGACAAAATCACCCCTTGACTTAAGGCGTGCTTTCATGCATGAGGTGCAGGAAATTGGGATGTTACCACAAACCAATTACATTACGTGAGAAAGTTAAAACACATGACAACACGTTATAGATTTAGAATATCGTCACTTTGACGCCACAATTGCATATAAAACTCTCTCTTACGCGATAGTCCATCTAATTAAGGCTCATCAACAAAAACAAGTCCTTCAAGATTCCCTTACATAGCCAAAACCTCATAGCCGTTTTCAAGAAAGAATCATTGAACCCAACTATTATTGCATCGAGCATTAACCATTGATAGATAAGCGTTTTTCTTTCTATAATTTGATTCTGAAAGCATTTTTTACTAATATATTAACATTTGGTAGAGGATTACACTACAGGTATTTTTTTTAATAAACAATTAATTATATACTTCGCAGAATGTTTTTCAATTTTAGTAGTTCAGCAAACATGGTAAAGAGGACATTTCTTTTTTCTATTTTTGCACCTAAATATCAATTCAATGGATTTACCCCAAGGCTCCAGTATACAGATTATTAAGACAGCAACAGGTTAACACATTGTCCAAATTGAATCCTTCCACGCTTGAGACATTATTTAATACATTTTGCAATCCAGCTTTCTTTAATTTTTTTTCAGCCAGCTGGTCTGAGCTCTGTTTACCTTTCTATATAATTCCGTCAATTTAATTAATTTCTAATTGACGAAAATGATTTCAGCATTTTGATTAATTAGGCCTTAAAGTATGGTTTTAGAATTATTATTTTTTGAGGTATTAGTTTATTCTCAACTACTTGAATTGCAGCCTATCAATTTCATCTTGCAATCATATGCTGCTGTGGCTTAGCTGTTCTGAGACATTAAACATGTAGAACTTTTGTTGTGTGTTGGAAGCACGTTTATTCATTCTGGTTACTTCCTTGCACTTCAAATTATGCAGCAAGGTCCAAAGTACGGGAATGTGCTGCTCACCTAGAGACCGCTTTTTAGGGTTTTTATTTAGTTATGGAGATCCTAACGTAATCCTCTAGATTCTCTGTATATTCAAGCGTGCATTGAATACTAGTCCATTGTTAAACATATGATTTCACACATAATTAATTGGTCTAGCGGCACTCGATCTTCACTTGGTCAGAGAAGATTTTTTGTTCGAATCAGAAATGTTGAACAATATATGCTCCTAGTATGTTCAATACTTAGTTGTGAACCATTATGAATTCTTACTCGTAGGTTAAGAACAAGTTGTAAATTTAAATTTGTGAACATCCTACCATTTTTAATAAAAAGAAATATTGACTTTTTTTTTCTCACAAAAGAAATGTTGATTGTTTGACACACAATTGGATGAATACACAATATATTGAAAGATGATCAAAGTCAATGCCTATTGGTTGACACCTTCACAAATTAATTTAATTAAAATGCTTGAACAAAATGCCATAATAATTTATTTATCACTATTAAGGAGGAGAAGTAAGATTCAAAATTATTAAAATAATTTACAAGGGGAAGAAGTTACGAACCCGAAAAGTATGGGTAGAAACTCAACGACATATCTACTACGATATTGGACCACATGCACAATAATTTATTTATTGAAAAAACTACCCAAACTGAAAACGGTGAACTCAAAACGGAACGCAAAACGCCAATCAAACGATTCCCGAACTCACAATCCTTCGGTATAAGTCACCCCGGTAGACTTCAACCACGACCCACCTTGTATAAGGTTCGCGACAGTGAAAGGTTGGGCCTTTTTTGGGCTTTTGATCACATGGTACCCAGCCCATTTCACTCTCTTGTTAGTACCAGCACCAGGCCCACTATTTGCATACTCTCCGTAATACAATGTTTTCAATGCAAAATCCCCAGACCAAATAGACCACCCAGCTGGGTCAATGTGGTCACCAATCTTGGACTGCATCACAACAGTCCTTGAGTACTCCTTCCATGGACGACCCAAGTAAGTTCGGATCGTCCCTTTCACGGGCTCTAAGTCCGAGCTCGCAACTACATCGCATTTTTGAATAGAAGTCCAGTGTTTTGATTCGGGTCTATACGTCCTTGTGCTGTGACCATGTTGTTTTGTCCGGTCATGGGCTTTCTGGCCACGATTTTACAGTTCTGAAACACAACAGCTGCATTTCCGAATATGAAGTCCACTGTCCCTGTGATGTTGGAATCTCTGTAGAATTGCCTGTTGGAGTGGGCATAGAGAGTGTCTTGGTAGGCGTCGATACGACACCTGTTTATCACGGACTGATCCGCCCCAACCCGGAGTGCAACAGCTTGGTGCTTTGCTGCCCCAGCGGTGTTTTGGAACCAAATGTCTTGGGCTATAAATCCATCACCAACAGCAGCTGCATTGGCACACCAAATTCAATGAAACCCACAATTTCCAAGGCTAGAATAATATAAATACATCCAATATTTGGGACACTAAACAAACGAGAAGATGTATATAAACCTAAGTTTGATGTTTTACATTATAGTTTTTAGGAAAAGTTTGTAATCGGTCCTGCTAGTGCGTAATTTCATTAAAATCATTACCTAGAGTTGCGGAGTTGAAAGTGGTTGCTCCATCAACAACATTGAGGCTGCCAGTGATGATTGTGTTATGCATGCCATCTCCAGTAATCATCAAGTTCTTCTTTTTCTTCCCGACCTCGAAATTTTCCTTGTAAGTTCCCTTTTTCACATGAATAGTGTACCTGGTTTTGCTATTATCTGGTGCAGCCGCCACTGCTTCTTTCACAGTCTTATAGTTCCCACTCCCATCCTTTGCAACCACAGCATTAGCATTACTTTCCTTTGCCAAATTAGAATCCAGCAAAAGCCTTCTGTCCTTGCTTGTGACCCACGTTGGAAAATTCCCGTCCAGCCGCTCCTTAATTGTGTTTGACTTTGATGGATCGGAAATTGCAACCACAATGGCTAGGGAGGCTCTTGATCTTGATACCAAGTCATTGAGCCAAGGCTCCATCATAGTCCTGGCCGGACCTTCAAGTCCATCCAAACAAGTGACATGGTTAGTGAGTACACTACTAAGCCAACCATGCACATCTTCAAGGGAATAATAATTCTGTGCACCAAATTTCTGGAGAGCTACCATGGAGTCCATAACTCTGTCTTTGGTCACATCCATCAGCTCCACGCAATCAACAATAGCCGCCCGATCTTTCGGACTGTTGATCCGAGAGTGAGCAACTTTGGCAATCTCTAGGGTTTTTTGTAATTGTGGTATGGAATTTTGTAGGATGGTTTGTAATAGATCAGCACCACTCATTGGCTTGGTTGTGCCATGCGATGTTTCTGAGACTATGGATAAGCATGATTTCTGATCAAGCGCGTGATCGCAGATGTGGGTTAAGCCAGTTAAAGGAGGATTAGAGAACGAGGCGAGTTTGGTTAGCACATGGATAGAAAAAAGTGTAGTTGAGCTTATAACAGCAACTAAGCAGAGAACTAGAGAGTAGGGTTTGCAGTGGGAAGTAATAGTTTTGGGAGCTTCAAGGAGAGGCTGCTGGATTGCCATATTCTTAGTAGCTAGGTTAAGATCTCTGTGGCTGCTTTGCTTAGTTTCTCTTGTCCTATAGTTCTTAAATAGAAAAACCATAAATTAAGGAATGATGATAATGTATTTTAAATTCATCAAGCTGCATCATTATTGTCATAAACCTTGGATTTATTAATTATCTAGCAGATAAACTATCATCTAGTGTTAACTTTTCAAGCGATCACCATCATTAACCTTGCACTTCAGCCATTTAGTCAAATAAGGATGCCACAACCACAATCAATCATCCAAGTTTTTGCGTCAATTAATTTTGGCCATTGATGCATACAAAATTTACGATAGGAAAAGAAAATTTCAAATGAGTGGGTGCGCCTAATTAATTATAACACTCTTCATTCAAACATACAATTGCCTGTAATTTAGGATTTTTGTGTGTTCGATGACAATTGGAGGTGACTAATCACCTTACTTGACCGACTAATAGAAGAGGATCTTGTGTTTGGAGTGAAACTTTATTTCCATGTTGACAAGGTTAAGATAAGGTTTGAAAAGCATGGTAATGTTGCTTTTTTTTATGACATAATTATGAGGGAATCCTTCAACTTTGAGGCTTTAAAGGATAGCCTAACTTAATTAATAGTTAATTTTAGTATTAGCCATCATGGGTGTTGGTGAAAAGAAGAAATTGTTGTTGAGCATTTGCAGAAAGCAATGTGCCAAACCACCAATCCAAATTTGGATAAACTAGTGGGCATTGTCTAATCTTCTACACTAGTGGGAATTCAACTAGGGCGAGATAAAATTTCCGAAAATCCCGAATCAAACAAAAAAAATTCCAATCTCAAACTAAAATTTCCAAAATTTTCAGGATGAAATATTAAACCGGTCTCAATATTTTGATACGGGATTCGATATTGTCTACTCAATCTTTCGGTAATCTCATACCGAACCGAAAATAAATAATATATATTATTATATATTTATATATGTATTATTATAGATTTGAATTGTTGCTAACTTCTAGTAGCAATATAATTGGTGTGGTCTAAGGTAGTAACAAGAGCCCTTTATCGCCACATTTGCCGGTATGAACCTTCCACAAATGTGTCTATTTCTTCAACACGAAATCAAAAAATTGTATTGTTAATTTTCGAATATATTAGATTTGTAACTTATTATTTTGTTTTTGGGTTTGTTACTTATTTTATTTTGGTTGCAATGTTAATTTAACTTGGTATGAATGATCGCTATTTCAATTTGTATGAAATTTGAGAATACCAAACAATCTCGAAATACCGAAAATATTTCGGGATTCCTAAAAATTAGAAATACCGAAATTTTGGTTTAGGATTGGTCTTCAAATTCCTATCCCAAAATTTTCAATTTGAGATTTGAAATCCTATTTTCGATTTGGAATCCCATACCTAACCACCCCTAAATCCAACTCACTCACTTTCAAAACGCATGTGAAATGCAAGGCACTATTCACTATTATTACTAGAATTTTTCTGCGTTCGGCACTATCGCCAGTTGGTTGGTTCCTTCCATAGCTTATTTTTTGTTCGGCACTACATGAAATCGTTATCTTCTCCGAGAGCTCTGGATTCAGTTGTCCTTCCCTGTTATAACCTTAGTGCCACTTATCTTGCTTCTAATCTTATTCATCATGCTTGCACACGTTATGTTGCACTTGATTATTATTTTATTTGTTAAAAAGTTTCACTTGGTAGTCAACGAGTTTGTTATATTTCTTCTGCTGATCAACCTGCTTACCAAAGCCCTTCATTAGCCTTGTCATGATACTCTTTACTCCAAAACTTGTCCGATCAGGCTCGTCCAATTTGTGTGCGCTCAAGCGCGGGGTAGGTGGTGGGATGGGGTGGGGTGTGTGTCTGTAAGGATAAACTTAGTTAATCCAAAATCTTCTACGTAATTATAGAATTTAATTTTCTACTGTAATTATTTTAGGATTCCTTTGACATATTGGTTTTGTCAAACCTTAAATATGTTGTAAACACTTATCAAATTTAATGGAGTCATATTCTCTCCGTTGGTTTGCTAACCGTGAGCCTAACCTTGAGCCGGTGATATTTCATGGAAAATTAACAAGGTATAACATATTTATTCTTTCAAGAGTCGAGAGCAAAGATTACGACGACATTTCAGCAATAATTTGCAAATCCCAGTAGTACTTGAGTTACCATTTACAAATTAATTAACCATAACTGAGTCGAAATATGTCATTCTGCACAAAGAAGCTTCCTTCTGGAGTGGGAATCAAATGGAACATCTGGAACCCAAAAATTAAATTAAATATGTTCACATTTTCGTATGTCACCAGTATCTACAGAAATTAAATAAACAATTACCTGGCTGAATCTCAGGTGGTGTCTTCAAATCCTGTTTTTCATGCCAGGATAAAGCATATTGAGATCGAGCATCATTTCAATCGTGAAAAAGTTCCTGATGGAACCGTTAAGAATGAACATGTGAGCAGCAAGGAGAATGTTGCAGACAATTTTACTAAAGTTCTCTCAAGGGGACCATTTGAAGCTCTTCGTGTGAAGCTTGGACTTGTTTCCAAAACCTCACTCTAAGGTGGAGTGTTAAACATTAAAGTTGCTGTTTTGGAGAAACTAATTAGCCATGTATTTTTTGTCCTTTGTTCGTATGTGCTGGCAGTGTCTAGAATTATCCTTTTTGATATTATTTATAAGGTTCAGTTTCATTGTCTTTTAGTGAAAGAAAAGAGGAGTCTATAGAAAGAAACAAAAAGACACTAGTTGTGCCTTTCCTCCTCCCTTCACAGAGGGATGGCGGCTATAACAAGTGAAGGGATACAGGGTGACTAGACATTCTGAAATGGGGGGAATCGAACACTGCTCATTTCTACCGTTTGTAGTGCCGAAAGTATCAAATATAAACTTTCCTTTCCTGATGAACGCCCACCCTTTCCAACAAGGGAAAATAAACTTTACTACTATGAGTCTTTTACTTTGACGGAATTGGACGGATTTGTAGTATATTTTAAGCATTTACATATTTCACTATCGTGTTGAGGATTTTACAGAATTTTACTCAAAATTCACATGGAAAATCTCTAGAAATCAACCAAAACTCTTATCAAGTTCCACAAATTTTATAAGTCAATTAAAATTCATTAGAATATAAGATCACTATCATTCAAACAAAATTGAGATAGCAAATTCTTAGCTACCCCACGCCAACAAGATTCCTCGCTTTGTGAAAGTCGGGAAATGAACGTCTATCATACGCAACGTTACATGTGCTATACAAAGAGGTTGTTTCCACGATAGCAATTTCTTAATGAATAATGAAAAAAAAAAAAAAAAAAAAGACCAAATTTTAGAACCAACAAAATTAGTACGCATATTTTGATCAACAATGCACACATTCAACCCCCTAAACTGATCTTTCACCGGGGACAACTAGCTAATTAAAAGCTATTTTCGTGGTTTCAGATTACAATCCAAACCTCTGAAGCCAAGAGATTTCCCTCCTCTCATTGTCTTTTCATACATGACCCGAAAACATCTCTTTCACCAGTGCCCTTCAAATTTATCACCAGGCCTGTTCTTCAAGACTCACGTAAAGATCCATCCTACCAAAATTTATATACCAGAAACTACCTCAATGACATTATACTGCAATACGAATACCGCACACGGTAAGATTGCGCAACAAGTACCTAAATAGATGCTTGAACAAAACGAATAGCTAGATGACGCCTTCATCCAAGTACCAAAATCTCACTTCACATGTGGACAGAGCCACAGAAAGACTCAAGTGTTGGCTACTATCAACCCTGTAACTATTCTTAAGCAGATCAGTTACTAAATGCTTATAATAAGATTGTAACAACTGAGACGTACGAACATAAATGAAAGCACACTCGAACAACATATAATTGTTTTCTTTTAGAGATATAATGGTACTGACTATAGTCTATGCTCATCTCAAGCATAACCACGTTTTCGAACCTCTTTGCAAACGGATAGAACGTTGCTGCTGAAAAGATCAGCGGCAGCCAAGTCCAGTTCTTTGCAAACACAGGAGGCCATCACGAATGACAATCTAGCACATAGTTTCTCTTGTCCTATGGTTCTTAAATAGAAAAAGCATAAATTAAGGAATGATGATAACGTATTTTTAAATTCATCAAGCTGCATCATTATTGTCATAAACCTTGGATTTATTAATTAGCTAGCAGATAAACTATCATCTAGAGTTTACTTTTCAAGCGATATCACCATCATTAACCTTACACTTCAGCCATTTAGTCAAATAAGGATGCCACAACCACAATCAATCATCCAAGCTTTCTCGTCAGCTAATTCTGACCGTTGATGCATGTAAAATTTACAACAGTAAAAGAAAATCTCAGATGAGTGGGTACGACTAATTCTAACACACTCTTCATTCAAACATAGAATTGCGAGGTAATTTAGGATTTTGATGTGTTTGATGACAATTGGAGGTGACTAATCACCTTACTGGACCGATTAATAGAAGAGGATCAGTGAAACTTTATTTACATGTTGACGAGGTTAAGATAAGGGTTTTAAAAGCATGGTAAAGTTGGTTTCTTTTATGACTTAATTATGAGGGAATCTTTCAACTTTGAGGTTTTAAAGGATAGCCTAACTTAATTAATAGTTAATTTTAGTATTAGACATCATGGGTGTTGGTGAAAAGAAGAAATTGTTGTTGAGCATTTGTAGAAAGCAATGTGCCAAACCACAAGAATACGAATCCTCTTTTTGTGTTGATTCTGAAAATTAGTGAATTATGTCCATTTATTGTACATTGTGTAGTCAGAAATCATTTTAAATATTTTTATTTAAAATTAAACACAAAAAATATTTGATAAAATTGACCGCAGAATGTACGATGAACGAACGCGATTTATCGATTCTCAGAACCCACTAAAATGATCCGGAGATGATCCTGTCGGAAACCACCAAACCAGATTTGGATAAACTAGTGGGCATTGTCTAATCTTCTACGCTAGTGGGAATAAAACTCACCCATTTTCAAAACGCATGTGAAATGCACGGCACTATTCACTATAATTACTAGAATTTGCGTTCGACTATGAAAGTAGATGTCTACATATTTTTTGGGTTCGGCACTACATGAAATTGTTGTCTTCTCCGAGAGCTCTGGATTCAGTTGTCCTTCCCAGTATTATTTCACTGTTATAACCTTAGTGTGACTTATCTTGCTTCTAATCTTGTTCATCATGCTTGCACATGCTATGTTACACTTGATTATCATTTTATTCGTTAAAAAGTTGCACTTGGTAATCAACGAGTTTGTTATATTTCTTCTGCTGATCAACCTGCTTACCAAAGCCCTTCACTAGCCTTGTCATGATACTCTTTGCTCCAAATCTCGTCCAATTAGGCTCGTCCAATTTACGTGCGTGCGAGCGCGGGGTTGGTGGTGGTGGGATGGGGGTGGGGTGTGTGTATGTAGGATAAGTTTAGTTAATCCGAAATCTTCTCCGTAATTATAAGAATGTAATTTTCTATTGTAATTATTTTAGGATTCCTTGTCTTGACAGTTCTGTCAAACCATATATGTTGTAAACATTTATCAAATTTAATGGAGCCATATTCTCTCCATTGGTCTGCTAACCTTGAGCCGGTGATATTTCATGGAAAATTAACAAGGTACAACATATTTATTCTTTCAAGAGTCAAGAGCAAAGATTACGACGACATTTCAGCAATAATTTGCAAAACCCAGTTGTACTTGAGTTACCATTTACAAATTAATTAACCATAAGTGAGTCGAAATATGTCATTCTGCACAAAGAAGCTTCCTTCTGGAGTAGGAATCAAATGGAACATCTGCAACCCAAAAATTAAATAAAATAAGTTCACGTTTTAGTATTTCACCATGTTATCTGCAGAAAATTAAATAAATAAATTACCTGGTTGAATCTCAGGTGGTGTTCTTCCCCTGGTAACTGGAGGCTACCGCTGATGAAAACCACAATGCTGCCGGTTGGGGACGATGGCTGGGAATCAATGGGGCTGATCAAATGCTTGCTTTGATCAAACGGCAGCTGTTTAAGCTTGGAAGATATATCGTCGGCGCCAAATAACTACTGCCCCTCAAAGCTCAGCATAGAGGCTCCCCACCATTTCAACTTGCTCTTCCATTTTTCGATCTTCGATCTTCTCTGTTTCTCTCCTCACGCGAATTTCCGACTACGAGTATATGGAAGCTGGATTTGCAGAAAGAGGTGCCAAACATGTACGCTAAGACACATAAAGAAAAGGTCGACGCAAGATTTGTCTGCTTAATGAGTACGTGATGGCCATGATGCCCTTGTGAATTTTGCCTTCAGGAGGGATGGCTATAACGAATGAAGGGATACAAGGGTAATTGGACATTCTGAAATGGGGAATCGAACATTGCTCATTTCTACGGTTTGTAGTGCCGAAGGTGTGGAATATATTATATATATTTCCCTTTCCTGATGAACGACCACCCTTTCCAACGAAGGAAAATAAACTTTACCACTCTCTGCGTCTTTTACTTTGACGGAATTGGATGGATTTGTTGTATATTTAAAACATTAAAAAATATCACTATCTCGTTGAGATTTCACAAAATCCTACTCAAAATTCACGTGAAAAATCTTTAAAAATCAACTAGAACTCCATTAAATTTCATAGATTTATAATTAATTCCATTAAAATCCATTAGAATATTAGATCACATCATCCAAAGAAAAGTGAGATAGCAAATTCTTAGTGATCCCACGCCAACAATGTTCCTCATTATGCAAGGATCGGAAAAGGAACGTCTATCATCTGCAACGTTACCCGTGCTTTACAAGGAGATTGTTTCCACGATAGCAAATAATAAATAAATAAATAAATAAAGTGACCAAGTTTTAGAACCAAAAAAATTAGTACGCATATTTTGACTCACCAATGAACACATTCAACCCCCTAAATGGACAACTAGCTAAGTAAAAGCATTTTTCCTGGTTTCAGATTACAGTCTAAGCCTCTGAAGAGATTTCCTCCTCTCATTGTCTTTTAATACATGAGCCGAAAACATCTCTGCCACCGGTGCCCTTCAAATTGATCACCAGGCCTGTTCTTCAAGACTCAAGTACAGATTCTATCCTACCAAAATTTATATACCAGGAACTACCTTCAATGACAGTATACTGCAATACGAATACCGCTTACAGTAAGATTGCGCAACCAGTACCTAAATAGACGCTTGAACAAAACGAATAGCTAGATGACGCCTTCATCCAAGTACCAAAATCTCACTTCACATGCAGACAGAGCCACAGAAAGACTTTAAGTATTGGCTACTATCAACCATGTAACTATTCTTAAGCAGATCCGTTACTTAATGCTCGTACTAAAGATTCTAGCAACTGAGATATACGAATATAAATGAAAGCACACTCGGCAACAAAATTCATAAAGTTCTATTTTTGCACCCATATCGAACAGCATATAATTGTTTTCTTTTAAGAGATATAATGGTACTGACTATAGTCTATGCCCCACAAACCCTATGGTCCCTATCTCAAGCATAACCACGTTTTCGAACCTCTTTGCAAACACAGGAGGCCATCACGAATTACAATCTAGTACATAGTTTTGTAGAGCAACTCATCCAGCTAATGTGAATCACATTCACCTAGTCAAGTTATAACCAAGGAAAGAAATACTAGCAGTCTAGCACGCCAACGTTCGTAAAGAGAGGAAATTTCTGTTTGCAACGGTCTGCAGATGAAGCAATATCAATACTCGTCTAACAGAGATGAGTCATCGGTTAACATACTATCTTTAACAAGTAAAGCAAACAGCTTGGTTGCAATGCCCTGGTCTACCGACGACAATACCAAACCATATATAACTAACATCATAAACGCAAAGCATATGTAATCAGGCGAAATTTTCTAAAACATAATTCTCGGTTAAAACATAACGTAAGCCATGCCAATGCAGGACCACCAACTATCAAAAAGTACACATCTTTTTCATGATCAATTCGTTACCAAAGTTTTCACTAACATAAATCTATCACCTTTGTAGAAGCTCAATTCACGAATCGACATCCGCTTCCTCGCCGAGCTCAGCTCCAGCTAGTAGGCCAAAAAGCATGCACCCCGTAACCCGTCTTCCAGTTATCCAACTGGATCACCTTCTGCACCGCCCAGAACGAAACACACAGCGCAATAATCATCACAATGCGCTGCGCTTTGACATTTCGAACCGTAACAAGCACGCGGGTGAGGAATGCCAGCAACAACCCGACAATGGTGTACAAGAATCCGACGGTGAATCCCTCTGTTCCTAGCTGCATTCCGGAGCCCTGGTAGAAAAATATGAGCTTGGAAGGATCATTCCTATCAACCAAAAACATGGGCATGTTCCTAATAATGTTATGCATTGCGCCCGAGACGCTGAAGAAGTAAATGAAAACCGACCCCGATAGCCAAATCCTCGGATCGTGAAGCAATGTCTTGCCACTGTAAATCTTCTTCGCAATGAACGGCGTCCAAACCAGCCAGGCAATGGTGGCGAACATAATCTGGTTCTTGGACAGCATCGGAGGCCGATGGATTGGACCCACGACGAGTTTGGTCTTGGACTCGATGAACTCGGACATTGACTCGGCCAGTCGGGAGAAATCGCCCTGGTCCATCTGCTGAGACTCCTTAAGGCCGTGGGTGGGGCCGATCAGGCGGATGTGCGGCAGCGAGTTGACTCCGAATTGGGAGAAGCTGTGCTGCGAGTCCTGGAACTCGATGTCGCAGAAGAAAAGCTTGGCGTGGGAGGGGGACGACGGGTCCTGGTTGTTCTCGATGAAGGAGGTGGCGACGACCGCGAACTCTTTGCGGAGCTCCTTGAGGTGGAGCTCGGACTTGTCGTGAAGCTTCGCGGCATCGAAGAAGATGAGGACCCAGTAGGGTCGCGGGGGTTTAACAGCGGTGAGGAATTTGGCGAGGGAGCGGTCGTCGAGGTGGATCACTCCAGATTTGGATCGGGATTGGAGGGAGAGGAGTTCGGGGACTGGGTCCGGGTTGGATTCGGATAACTCCGTGAAGGCGGCGAGGAAGAGGACGGCGGTGATGAGGAGGAGGAGGGAAAGTTTCGGAATGGAACCCATTGTGGGGGTCCAATTGTTGCAGAGAGGGCTTTGCTTTGTGGGAAGAGGAAGACGAAGCCTCGACGGGTAAAGAGTTGATTTTCAGTCTTCGAGTGTTGACTTTTTCGTGTGGAGGACGAGAAGGCTAGAATCTGCGACATGTCGTTTTGTCCAATAGTATTTCTACATATGTGCTATTTACATACTCATTTTTACTGCTCACATGCCTCTCCTAATTTTTTGGTTATCAAATCGAATGAATGAAGAAGACCAATAGCCAAAATTCACAAGGGTATGTGAGACATAAAAATGAACATATGAATAACACTATCTACTTTTTTTTTCTTTCCCATTGATGCAAGGGATACAAAAAAGAAAATCGAACTTAGTTTGCTCAAATAACAAATTGGAACCTAAATTTACATGCAAATGTGAGTTAGCTCACTTGACCATGACAGTGTTCTCGACTCCTTATGGCCAAGTTTGATTCCCTTGTCGTAAAATAGAGTAGTATATAATAGAATATCGCATGCAAATTTAAACATTCTATTTTTTTGTTCCAAAAATCTAAATATCCAAAAATCAAGAATTGCATTTGACAGAAAAGAAATAAGGATTACAAAACTCATTTTGCTTCATTATCCTCACTTATAGTTTGTAAGTTCGATAAGGTTACTTGGAATCCAGAAATCAACCGTTTATAAGTTGCTGCATCAGGTTTAAGCCCCATCTTCAACATTTCATCATGAAGTTTCATAGCCTTTCTCAATTCCTTCACACCACAAAGCCCGCGAATCATGATCGTAAAGCTTGCACTGCTCATCAAACCGCGCTGTCTCATGTAATCGAACACTCTAATTGCTTCTTCAATCCTCCTTGCTGCAAATAGTCCACTGAGAAGTACATTGTAGGTTGCTGCATCCAAACTGCCATCCAATTTTTCCATTTTGTTATGCAATGCAAGAGCCGAATCAATCTGTCTTCTAGAGCAGTAACGCCGCACCAATGACGAACAACAAATCAAATCCAAGTCCGGTTGAAGCCCCTTGTCTATAACTACATTCAACAGATCTTCAGCCCCTCTCCATCTACCCCTACGACATAGAAACGATATAAATCCAGACAATTCCGATGCACACGGGCAAAACCCTCTTCTTATAACATCCATTAACAACTCGAACCCTTCATCAGACCGCAGTTCCTTGCAAAGGAGGTCTGCAAATGCACTATAACTACTGTCATCCACTACAATACCCCTTTCAGAAATCAGACAGTACACATGAATTGCGTCTTTTGTTCTCACTTCATTAGTCAATGCTTTCAGCACAAGGTCATACGTAGCATCCTGCAATCCAATTTTCTCATCACATGCCTTCCTAAAGAACATCTCAGCTGCACTCGTTTTACCCAACTCACAAAGCTTCTCAACTATCGAATCATACTCAGAGAAACAACTTTTTGGAAGCAATTTCTTCTCTATCATAGTATTCATCACCCTTTCAACCACTTCCACAGCCCCAAGTTTACATGCTCCATCAAGAACAGAGCTATAAATACTAAACCCTGGGTCCATTTTTCGATCACACATCTCATTCAAGCGGTAAAATGCAGCATCAAAATCGCCACTTTTGCTATAACCATCTACAAGAAGATCATACATTACAGAATTATAAACGCCCGAATCTAAAATCCTAACAATTCTCTCAAATTTTCCATCTTTACAAAGAATCTGAGCAACGAGAGACCACGTAAACCTGTCTCCTAAAACCCCTTTCCGGAACATAACGCCATAGAAACACCAAGCCAATCTAATCTCGTTTTCTCTCTGAATTGCATTAAGCAGAGCGTTGCACGAAACAACAGAAGGAACAAAACCGAGAGAATTCATCTTCCTAAACACTTCTAATCCTTCTCTAAACAAACCCTTTCTCGAATAGCATCCAAGAACAAAACTCAACGTTTCGGATTGAGAATCTGTACCTTCACATGCCTGAGTGAAGCTCTGCAGAAGCTCCGTTACGTGATGGGTCTGGATCAGAGAATCCAAGATGGGTTTCACGGCTCGTATAAGACCTGACCCAAGAGAGAGTTGGACGATCCGGCATTTGGATTTGAGGTCCGGTTCGAACCGTAAATTCGCTTTGGCCCAGTTGAAGAACTCCACGGAGACTTGCGGGTTGTTCTGGGTTTTACGGAGGATTTGGAGGAAGAGCGGCGGCGTCAGCTTGGGGAAGAGGCTGAGGCTGCGGAGGAGCGGGACCCAGTTGCGTCGTTGTAAGAGGACGGAGGAGATTTGGGAAGCGAGCTGAGATTGTTTGATGGTGGTTCTCCAGCTGAGGGAAGAAGAAGCTGTGGGAGGCATTTGCTGGTGGTGAAGTGGGTTTCTTGTGCTTAAACATTTTCCGGCGAAGAGGTGTTGATTTGGGGTCTCAGGAGCTCGAGATTGTTGGCAATGGCGGAGTGGGATTGATTTGGGATTTGGGTTGTAACGGTAGGATTGTTGGGTTGAGTGGAAGGTGAAGCCCAAACTTAAACCATGATTTATGGGGCTGTTGGGCTCTGATTCTCTTGGACTTGTTTTTGTATGTAAAAATTAAATAAGATGATTCACTTGCCACTTGTGGAGTTTAGAAGGCTAAAAGATGAATGTTAAAATTACTAGAACAACAACAATAATTAAGTTTTAACCTACTAAATGAAGTTTGTTGTATGAATTCAGAGTGTTACTATGCTCGGTTTTTGCACGAAGTTTTTCGTTAGCTTCAAAATAATCCATATCTTCTCTTATAATCTATTTTCAAGTATTCATAGATTTTCCTTTACCCCTTTCAGCCTTGAGCATCCGTCTTATAGTTACATCTGCTAACCAGAGCATTTGTAGGTCTTTCGTTCACGCGTCCAAATCATTTTAACTATTTTCTTTCGTCTTATCTTCAATTGCTGTCACTACTACTTTACCTTAGATATCCTTGTTTTTAACTATATTATTTTCTCGTGTCCTCACACATCTAACAAAAAAAATACAAAGATAGATGAGTAAATAGAATGGAATTAATTATTTTATTGAACAATTGTTCAAAAAAAAAAAAAAAATTTATTGAACAAAATTGATTTAACAAATTTAATAAAAATCCAATTGCAAAATACAAAAATTGAAATTACAAAGCTTTACAATATTATGTGTTCTAGTCCCATGGACTCAATGAGCACTCCACCGGCAATGTTGGGAATCGCTCGTAATCCGTGCAGTAATCATAGATCACCATATTTCTCTGTATCCAAGCATAATCCTTCTTCTGATCGTCTGATAGGTGCCAGGCATTATACTGGTCCCACCAGTTATCTGTTGTGGTGGAGACGCACGCAGGGAATGGTTCCTCCCATTGGCAAGCATCCACACTGAAGTCGGTGTAGGAGGACACAAATGGTGCTTTCGTCCAGTCAGTCTTCTCCAGCCCACCTCTGGTGGCCCAACTGTCTGCGTTCCATATGCTGGAGAACAAGTACATTGGCTTCTCGTTGGGGAAGAAGTTGTTTGCTTCCCCATTGTTCTTGTACACCCTTATGGGAACTTTGTCCACAAAAAACCTACATGACAAAAACAAACATATGCAAAAGTGGTAAGTTTTGTGAATCACACAACAGTGGTGAGAGGAGGCTCAAACGCCTTTACGAGTCTTCTCGGTTATTGAAAAGATAAATTATCGTGACGTAATCATTAAATGGTTCTCTTTTGAAAGAAAAAGAAAAAAGACGAAAGAGATGTATGAATACCATCTAAATAATTAGATAGCATAATTCTATTAATTAAATGATTTATGCTGACCTAACGATACAAACAATATCAGTATGTCATATGCGTTTGGTTTGCATAATTTCTTGTGATACATAGATATTGTCAGTCATATTATATGTAAACATTGTCTAAACCATTAGATAGGCAAAACTCTATTGATTAAGCGGTTTTTACTTATCTAACAGTACATATAGTATTATAGAGATTATCTGCCACTCGAATAGATATCACTATCACAAACTGTCTAAACTATTTGATCAGTAAAATATTGTTGATCAAACGATTCAGACAATGTTCATACAACATAATTTCCTTGTTAACATAATAAAACTGTGGAAAAAGAAGTATGTGACAAATGTGGGAAATCACATCTCTTTGGGACTTGCATCATATAAAATAAAAGGAAGAAGAGCAAAAGAGAGATATACTAACACAATCTGATGATCGTTCCAGAGAATTGAATAAGAATGATAATCCTCAGTTGGGTCAAACCAAAGCTGGTGCCTCATCTCACGGTTTCCAGTTCCGTTCTTGAACACATTTGTCTGGATCAGATAAGGTTGCCCAGTCCTATTCCCCAAGAACTCAAAATCTAGCTCATCCCTCTCTGGCCCTGCTCCGTTTTCTGAGCACATCTGCAAACAACAAGTACGTTTTCAAATCTCATTACACATTGATCCCGTTCTTCCTATAGCACTCACCGCGTGACGTGATAAGTGTGCTGTCGCAACAGAAATAAGGAGATATATTCCCGATTGTATGCAAGATTACTTACATAATAAGCTGTGACTACGCCGGCGGAGTCACCTCCGACCAACTTGATCTTCATGCTAAACCATCCAAATCTGTACTTTTGTTTCGTTTGAAATCCACAACCTGCTCAATTTTAAGAAAGGAAGGAAATAGTTAAAGAAATCTTCAACTTGAAACACGACAAACACACTGCCATAACCAACTGACCTAACTCACGTTTACTGTTCCTCGTACTAAACCTTGTGTATGTTTACCTGTGTCTTTGTCGAGGGAAAGATACCAGATCTGCTTGTCTGCTGAAGTTGTAAAATGGTTCTCAGACCACATTATACTGAAATTGTTATCGAACGAACTTGTCGGGGCAGCTGCTTCTGATGAAGAACAAGAAGCAGCTATGAAAACTGCAATGTAAAGAAGAATAGGCATTGGAAACGCCCTTCCTTCCATTTTCGGGCCGAAGAATTTGGAGCAGAGAGAATCCGAAGAAAGTGAGAACAATGGATGGGAAAGCTTCTTTCAGCTGGATCTCCAAGGGGAGGATGAGGAGGAGAGGTGCATTAAATAGACAAGAGTTTGAATGTGACTTTAAAAAGGCTGGGAACCAAGTTGCATTTGTTTGTCTGGTATTTTTAATCATGGGTTTATTACTGCATATGTAAATTATGTCAGTCGGGCTTAAGTTCGAATCATTGAATAATTTTTAAAAAGTGAATTTTAACGAAAAGTTATAGTACTGTTCATTTTAATGAAAAACTATATTTTTACATTAAAAAGTCAATCATAGTACTATTCACTTCACCCTTTATTTTTTCCTTATCATTAAAACTCAAAGTTTCAAAACTCTTTTCGTTAGTTTCTTTTTTGAAAATGACTAAACGAGATTAGAACTGGGGACTGGGAGAAGCCAGGCTGCCCCTCGATTGTGTTTGGCAATTGCATAGAGGGTGGGGTCCATGTGCTGCTTCAACGAAAGTGATCGAATGTGAGTGGTCATACAAGAATAGAACGTTCTTGGATCTTGACAACTGGATTTGGTTGTTGGGAGAAAATGAGAAAAGGAATTGGCCGAATCCCCCTCTTCCCTAACTTGCAGGAATTGTCAATTTCCCTTTAAACTTTAATTTTAACTTATTATTTTTCTGCATTTTTATAATTAGCTGAATTCCACTGAAATTTTAAGTCTCTCCCTAAACCTTGAAATTTAAACAAAAAATGCATGGAGTCAATTGGCAGAAGAGAAGAAGAAGAAACAATATGTTGTTCACATTAGGGATAAACTTACATTTTTGCAATTATAATTAAAATTTAGTGGTGAAATTGGCCAATTATAAAGTTCAGATGAGCAGTTGGCTTATATTAATGTTCAGAGGGAAAACGGCCAATTATAGAAGTTTAGGAGGATAATTAGCTAAATTTAAAGTTCATGGGAAGTTGACAACTCCTTACAAGTTTAGAAAAAAATCAACAAATACCTCTTACTTAATACATTATCGTGACGATATTTCTAATATTTTGTTGTATTTTAAATTTCTCGTAAGATAATGCGTGGTTAAAAGTATGATAATCTAGAATAATGTCTTAGTTGCATGGAAATTCTCGTTACAGAGAGGTATAAAATGAACTTGAATACTTTCTATGTGCTTTGATCAATCAAACAAACAAAAGTAACCTATAAAGCCCGATATTTATCCTTTTCCCCACAATTTAGGGCTTTTTTTTTTTTTTTTTCTTGTTGCACGTAAAACCAGTTTCATCACATTAAACAAGGATTTTTCCTGAGAATGGTGAAGTTTACGCTCCCAAAAGAGGTTGCTTTTCTTGGTTAAATACATGACCAACATGCTAAACACCATAACCAATAAAAAAGAAAGAATTGCTTCAAGACTAAAACTATCATTAATTATGAATTTTTAGTAAACTCTGGTGTACAACAACAACAACAAAGTCTTCTCTCATTAAGTAGGGTTGACTTATATGAATTATAAATCTTATTGCGCTTGGTTTTATGTTAATGTCTTCCGTGCCTTCAAGTACTCTATGTATTTTCTTAGAGTCTCATTTTAAGTCTTCCTATGTCTTCTTCTACGCATTTTTACGTTAAATCATTAGTCAAAGGTATAATGATCAAAACTTTGGAGTATATATAATACTTCCACTATAAGATACTTCGAAAACACCATAAAATATTAAGATAAGTTATTTCTTCTGGCATAGAAAAAGACATTGAAAATAAAAAATAAGAATAAACCAAAGAATAAAAGAAGGTATTCATCTCACATCTCGTGAATCTTGTGGGCAGCTAAGCAATGCCTATTTCAACACTCACAAAATAATTTTTTTAGATTTTGAGTGAAACCTTGAAGCATTGACTTGCATCTGCAGGCCGTAACTGAGAAGATGCAGCCAGATCATCAAGTGATAGGAACCCAACAACTGACTATTGAGGTTTGAGGAGGATTATTAATGGATTGATTGTGATATTAAGGAGATATTTTCAATGTGCCAAAACACAGTTTAGTATACTAAGTATTATAATCAAACTACTTATATTATAACATTTGATTTTAATGTTTCAAGACATACTTCCAGCACACTAAAAAGTCTCTCGTCGTTATCAAGGACTACCAATAAGTGAAGTGAGGAAAGAGCAATTGCTGAGTTGCACATCATGAAGAAAAATTCAGGGTGTAATTAATTGCTGAGTTGCATATCATGAAGAAAAATAGATGGGATATATCTCCTTCTTCCTCAAAGTAATTTCGGCACCTGTATTTCTAATTTATCTGTTAAGTCACTTGATGAGCGAGATAAACAAATAAATATTATTTTGTTTATCAATATAACCCAATATTTTAATTTATAATTAGAGTACTTTCTTCTTATGTAAGGGATGAGATGCTTCAAATATTTTAATCATTAAATCGTTGTTTAAAAACGAAAAAATAAACAAAAATCTAAAGGTTAAACCATTAGTATTATCAAATTCTGCGAAGTACCGTATAATTTTTTGTCTTATCCTTGAATTCATCTCCTAAATTTGAATGGCACAACAAACCATTTTAAGGCTCTTTGATGCTTGTCCTGGATATCTAGATGGACCTGCCCACCTGGGAATATGTCGGTCGTCATCACTTTCCCTCATTTCCTCAGAAAACCCTGTTCAATCTCTTGCCCGGAGATAAGTTTGACTTTTTACAGGTGAAGTAGCTATTAGCGAGAGCCAAGTTTGACTGTTTCCCTTCTAAGCAGTTTTTCAATCCAATAATTCACATTCTAATAGAAAAGCTTCAGACTCATTTTAAAAATAATAAATAGTGTTACACAACACCAAAATCACATAATTTAAAAGAAAAACTAATGAAAAAAGCTTCAAAACTTTGAGTTTTAACGATAATAACAAAATAAATGGTAAAGTGAATAGTACCATATTTGACTTTTTAATGTAAAAATGTATTTTTTCGTTAAAGTGAACAGTACTGCGAACTTTTCGTTAAAACTCCTAATTTAAAACTAATATAACTTATATTTTGAATTATTTTTCACTCATACTCACTTCATGAATAAGAAAAAAATTATTCTCAACCTAGGAACCTCACCAACCCAACCTATCTTAGAATGGTTTGGGTGGGTTAATTTTTCAATTTGTAGGGTAGAGATGAGTTTCAATAATGTCAACCCGAGCCTCTTAAATTGACCAATGAGTTGAAGTCCAACCCAACCAACCCACCCAATACACCCCTAGCTCCCCGCAATAACATTCATATAAGTCCAAATATTTTAGAGTATCAATTTGTAAGAAAAATATTTTAGAATATCAATTTGTAAGAAAAAACTAGAAAGAGAAAAAAGACTCATCTATGTCAGGTATTTTGATAGACGGGTACCTGATTCACTTCTAACCACAACGATATTATTCCAATTTATTCATCTATTGCTAGGTGTTGGACTTTATTACAAAAAAACCTTACTATTATTAAAAACTAGCATTTGCCTACATACTTTGTGTGTATGAACACATTTTTTAAAAAAATGAGAAGGAGAGAGAGAGAGAGAGAGAGAGAGAACATGGGGGGGAGTGGGAGGTTTTTCCTTTTGATTTTTTTTTTTTATAAATATTGGAGGTATTTTAACAGTACCTGTAGGTGAGGATTAAATGAAAAACAGTAAAATTTGGACTTGTGAAATTACATTATTACCCATCATTTTTTTTGTGTGATAGAAAATAAGTAATCTTTTCATCATATTTTGATTAATAAAGAGAGTTTCATTAATTAATAAAGATAAAACTATACATTTATATATTTTATTTTATTTTTTCAATTGACGATGTCGGACTTTATATTCAACAACCTAAGGCCCATCTTAGCCCAAGGAAAAAGTTAAGGCCCATCTTAGATAAATAAATCAGAAAAAGGACACAAACAATATTGTGTGAGAATCCAACGGCTGTCGTCAGCCATCGAGAATCCAACGGGAGTAATCGCAATTGTAATTTGCCTCCATTGGAAGGGTATTTAACCAGTCGAAATGACGGAAACTTCCTTTTGATCGTCAGAGAGAACGCTAAAACGGTGAGTAGCAGACCAACGAACAGAAGAGTCCCCAAATCAGAGGTTCGAATTAGGGTTTTCCTCTCCCGAGCTAGAATCGCAAGTCGAAGGTCAAGAACAAGGAATGGTGTGCGACAAGTGTAAGTTTCTCTAAATTCGCTTCCAACTTTCCGCAAAATTCTAATCTTTTCCATACAAAAAAATTCTGAATTCTGATTGATGCAGTTTCGGAATTTTGGATTTTGATTGATAATACTTTGATTTTTTTGCTGAATTTCTTTGAATGAGTAGGTGAGAAGAAGCTTTCGAAGGTGATAGTGCCGGACAAGTGGAAGGAAGGTGCCAGTAACACCACCGAAGGCGGTGGCCGGAAAATCAACGAGAACAAGCTCCTCTCCAAGAAGAAAAGGTCGGTCCTTTTTTCTATTTTTAATTTTTCAATCATTGTCGAATTGTATGAGTTTTGTTTGCGTGTTTAAATTGGTTTTAGGATATGATCTTGGGTTTTTGTTTAAATCAAAATCTCTACATGGGTTTTTGTTTAATTTGGTTTTTGCATATGATCGTGATTATTTTCTAATTAATTATAAAAGTAGTCTGTTAGCTGCTATTAAACCTTAGATTAGTTAGCTGGTAGCCTAGTACAGAGAAGGGAATGGGACTTGAAAAAACTTGGTGCGATCGTCTTATTTACCGGACCAGATGATAATAAACAGTATGTTTCGTGGTTTTGTGAAATGGAGGTGTTGCAAATTGCGCAGCGGACTTGTGTAGGGTGTTGAAGAGACTAGAGAGGCATAACATTCATGTAGTTTCAATGTAGTCTCAACTTACGTTTTAGATCAGCCGATGAGGTTGCACAGAATGGATTCATGATTCGTGTTTTAAGTACCCAATTGCCGTTTCTTGAGTTTTTTGTCATACAAGTCTTTGATCAATTCAAAACGCATTCACGATTCATGTGTACAATAATGATTTAACTACCCCATTTCCGTTTCTTGAGTTCTTTTTCTATGCAGTTTGTCTGTGTGGATGTATCACCTGGGATCGTCGGCAAATTTAGTGACATTGGTTTCATTCATTTGCGTGCAGGTGGACTCCGTATGGAACTACCAAGTGCATCATTTGCAAGCAGCAAGTACACCAGGATGGCAAATACTGTCACACGTGTGCTTACTCCAAAGGTAGTGTTTCTATTTGATGATCTACCTAGTTTGGTAGCTTTTGTATTGCAGGAAAGTCTGATGTATGCGATGTTATGCAGGAGTTTGTGCGATGTGCGGGAAGCAAGTACTTGATACCAAGCTTTACAAACAAAGCAATGTATAAGGCAAATCAGATGTTTGGTTGACACACTCTATATGGTGTGATGACTCGTAGAAAACTTGTTGATTTCTTATGAATCATACTCATCCCGGACCCCTGGGCATCAAGCGAGAGGATTTACCGTATTTGTAATTTTCGGATGTGAATGTTAATCTTTAGTCTTTTGATCATTTAAATCTAGTAAAAAGGCTTAGCTTGTGAACTTTTGAATGCAAGTTGTAAGATTTGGTCCGAATGCCATATGACATTTTTCTTCCTGCGCATGTTGCGATTATTCAACAATCGCATTGTTTCATATATAGTGTGGGCATCGTTTTTAAACGGTTTGCAAGGTTCTAAAAATTTAACAGCTAATGCGTATGGGACTGAATATAATTTATAAAGTTGCCCTTAAGCATCGTATTTTTATCGAATGTCTATTTGATAACCATTTGATGTCTATTTGATAAGCATTCAACTACTTGACGCCTTAACTTTCATCTAATGCTTCCTTGAATGTGTAGGACATATGAGAAAGGTCAAAATTAAGGACGAGGATATCCGAGATAAAGTAAAAGTGGCAATTGATTAAGGTACATATGCTTTAGTTAAAAAATGCAATTATGTAGCAAAAGCTCAGGGCAACAGGAGTAGTAAAAACTCGAGGGCTGTTTGATACCCTTTTTTGCATCAAGTTTAGTTTTCAAAAACGGTTGATGTACCTAAATTGCTTGGTACTCATTAGTTTTCAAATAAAAAATCGAATCCAGAAGGTCGTGGTTTTTGGTTCGTTAACCACGACGACCGTTATCTGATAAATGAAGATTTCTTTTGAACGTAGGTAGTAAATTTACAAGACAAGAAGTAAAATATTTTGGATACAGATGAAACAACCAATTGAGCTTGTTGTTTATTGACTAGTTGAGTGTGTAGAGGACCAATACTTCTCAATTTCTTCTGCTGTTCTTCCCGGAATCCTCCCAGCAATCAGCGCCCACCTGCCGGAAAAATAGTAAAACTTACAGTTCGATCGAGATAATTACAACTCGAAGAATAAAACGAGACCAACCTCTCCCCTACTAGATTGTACATTCTTATGATAAGTGCCTCCTCGTCCTCGGAGAATTGAAGCTCAGATTTGTCTGTGCTTTTCTCTGAAATAAAGAACTCATGATCAACGAGGAAAATTAATACAGAAACTTATTTTGCTTTTGGTTTTGGACAAGGGCATATATGATAACCATTTCGTTTTTAGTTTCTAGTTTTCGTTTTTTCTTCGTAAATATAGACGGCATATTTGAGAACTATTCCTCCATATTTGCTTATCCTTCTCTGTCACTTAATATATCCCATCTATTCCTCACAAAAAGAAAAAAAATAAAAGTAGAAACTAAAACCGAAATAGTTATCAAAGCGGCTTGAAGTTTTAATGCATGGTTTTAATATGAAGCATCTCCAAGCCAGTGTAAAAAAAACCCTTACAAGTTACAGCACTATTGTAAGGCTAATTGCTAGCAAAACGAAAGAGGCTGCAAAAGTACCGCACGTAGATTGAACAAACCAAGACAAAAACAATACCTCGAGAGTCCACGACAGTGTCATCAGAAGAAGAGTGCTCGGAGTCTGCCATTTCGCGTAGATTTCTTGATAAGAATTAAGTCACAGAAGAGCCAAGAACAGGATGCTACTCGGTCTCAAACATTTGTTAGGGGAATATATGTTTGAGAGTTGAAGGCAATAATAATAGATGATTACGAATGGTTCTGAAGTAGCAAAGAATGGTAGTTGAACCTAGGCATGTCAAGGAACAGGAAATCCCAAACTCTGTCGACCCGAAAATTATTTGATATGACTCCATTCAATAATCCGTCAATTTACGACAAAATCTATGTCGAATTGGTTATATTATCGCATGTCAAGTTTAGTGAGCTACAGAAGGGATTTAGATCAAAATCCGATCCATTGAGAGACAAAGTTGAATGGAAGTTGGGGTGTATACAGGTTTGATCGGTAGCTGAATTGGTTGCCGGAGGAGAATTAGCTTGATGCCACGCAGCTTTGTATGTGTCTGTAGTACAAAGTCCTCCTCTGTGTGTTATGGCCGCAGAATAAAAGAATATCTAATTAGGAGGGTCCCCTGCAAAATACAAAGCTTGGTTTTTGAGTTGAAACCGATTAGAAAAGAGACTTTGATTTTCGTTTGGTTGTTGTTTGGAGGTTAGTAAGCCGTAATATTTAGAGCATCTCTAATGGAAGATCCTATTTTACGGTCTCTGCCACCATTTTTAAGGCTTTTGAGAGAATATTTGGGTCCCTATAATAATATTAACTTCAATGGAGGGTCCTTAATAGTCCTTAAATTTAAGGAATCATTGTTAACGTAGCAGCTGTTGATTTATACAATGCAGTTATCTGCGTCCGTTGGTTTAAAAGAAAAAAAATAATTGCAGGACCTATGTCTGCATGCACCAACTTGTTCTAATGGATTGGGTCCCACGTCTGTATGGGTTATTTTTTGGACAAAGACTCTCTCTTTTTTTTTCCCTCCTTCCTGTTTAAACGTTCAAGATTTCATCTTTGTAGAGAGTGAAAGAAAGAAAAAAAAAACTGTGAGAGGAGGGGAGGGAGGGAAGGGAAAAAGGAAGAGGAGAGAATTCTCATCCTTATTTGTTTAGGCCAGCAGTGAAGTGGGGCCCGCTCAGTCCCTATACCCAGCCATCAAGTATACGGTTTTCTTTGGGGACTCCGGCGAGACCATGTACATTGGGGTTGTTTGAGGACTTATTTTCCAGCTCATTGGAAGCATTCTAGTCTCTATACATAGGGACATATGATGACAAGGATTGCATTGGAGATGTTCATGTCACAACCAAAATGAACAAGATACAATAAGCTAAAAACGCGTGACGCCGAAATCTGATAACATTTGTACATATGACCTCAAATATACCTTGAAGTCAACGAATTATCCGTTTCAATCCAATCTTAGAGATCAAACGACAACTTAGTCCCTCTATCAAATAAGCAAGAATGAGGACTTGTGAGGAATCGATTCGCCGTTGAATCGTAACCATTTGCCACTGTTAGGTCGTATGAATGAGGTGCAAACTAACTTGGAATTAATTCGGTCTAAATACCTTGGTGCAAAAGGTAAAATTCAATCACTAAGGATGCTTGCCTTCCAAGATATAAACGAGAGATGCGGAGGAAAATAAAACCCCGCAATTGACTGAGTCATGTTTGGAAGCAAGACGCTAAGCCAAGTCCCGCTTCAGCCAAAGTTCATGTATATCATCTGCCGACAGCCAAATTCATCGGGAGCCGAAGGCCAGTGGGTGTAAACGATATATACTTGAACAAATAATGTTTAGCCATTTAAGGATGAGTAAAAATATCTACTTAATATTATTCATGTTCAGATCAAAATTTTGTGTTAATGATCAGAATTGTTTTCATTATGAATCATTCTGTAAAGATCATTTCTACAAAAAATGAATTAAAACTAAGGTCATGTAATCAATATATTGTAGCAAATACATAGACGTACTTGTATCAAAATTTGTTCATTTGTTTTTATATAGTTCAATAACCAAACGAATAGTTTTAATTCATTTTTGCAAAACGATCCTTATAGAGTGATTTATAATACAAAAAGTTGTAATCACAAACACAAAATTCTATAAATCGGCAACGAGCAGTTTTGAGGAGAAACTTCTACTCATCATTCAAGTAGTCTGGTATTATTCATGCTAGTATTGTTTATGGGTTCGAGGTCGGATGGTATCAAGGGCAAACAAGTAAGCTACTTGGGACTCGGTTCATTTCTTCTTTACTGGTGCAACTCTTGTTTGCCATTAGCATCTGTTCATTCGGGTGTGGCTTTCGGCTAAATGTCGTGCACCACTGAAACTGGTGTAAGAACTTAGCGAACTGAAACATCTGAGTACCTAAAGGAAGGGAAGGGGAAATCAGCCGACACCTCTGAGTACCTGTGCATGAGTACCTAAAGGAAGGGAAATCAACCGAGACCTCTGAGTACCTATGCAAGGGAAATCAATCGAGACCCGCCAGTAGTAGTTAAAGGTAGGCAAATCGACCGAGACCCGCTAGCAGCAAGCGAAAGCAGAATGGTGGTTTGAAGAAAAACGAACGTGGGATATAGCGGATTAGGGGTTTGAACAAAAACAGACGTGGTTGCCGGAAAACATTCAGAAACAATTAAAGCCGTCAGAAACAATTGAAGCCAACAATTAACTAAAACTTCTCGATCAGAAAGAGAGGGAGGGACCACACCAACAAGAGACAATTGAAAGCAAGCCATTGACAAACACAATACCACGCAACCAAATCAACGGATTTCAAAGACGAAATTATTAAACCAGAATCGAATTTATTTATACATAGTAGAAGGAAAACACAAACATGTCCAGATGCCTCAACTTAGGAGGCAAAAAGAGTACCATGAAACTTAAAAAACATAAAAAGTAAACCATAAAACTACTTCCGACGAAAACAGATAGCAGACGGTCACCGGCCAAATCTAGAAACCACCACGGAGACGGAGGACAAGGTGAAGGGTGGACTCCTTCTGAATGTTATAATCAGCCAGGGTCCTTCCATCCTCCAACTGCTTACCAGCGAAGATCAACCTCTGCTGGTCCGGAGGAATACCCTCCTTGTCCTGGATCTTAGCCTTCACATTGTCGATGGTGTCCGAGCTCTCCACCTCCAAGGTGATGGTCTTCCCTGTCAAGGTCTTCACAAAGATCTGCATACCACCCCTCAGACGCAGCACCAAGTGAAGGGTCGACTCCTTCTGGATGTTGTAGTCCGCCAAAGTGCGGCCATCCTCGAGCTGCTTCCCGGCAAAGATCAGCCTCTGCTGGTCCGGTGGGATCCCCTCCTTGTCCTGGATCTTGGCCTTAACATTGTCGATGGTGTCCGAGCTCTCAACCTCCAGGGTGATGGTCTTGCCAGTCAGGGTCTTCACAAAAATCTGCATGCCACCACGGAGACGAAGCACCAAATGAAGAGTGGACTCTTTCTGGATGTTGTAGTCGGCAAGGGTGCGGCCGTCCTCGAGCTGCTTTCCTGCAAATATAAGCCTCTGCTGGTCCGGTGGGATGCCCTCCTTGTCTTGAATCTTGGCCTTCACGTTGTCGATGGTGTCGGAGCTCTCCACCTCAAGGGTGATGGTCTTCCCTGTAAGGGTCTTGACGAAGATTTGCATCCCACCACGGAGACGAAGAACCAAGTGAAGGGTCGACTCCTTCTGGATGTTGTAGTCGGCAAGGGTCCTGCCATCCTCTAGCTGCTTTCCGGCAAAGATCAATCTCTGCTGGTCTGGAGGGATGCCCTCCTTGTCCTGGATCTTGGCCTTGACGTTGTCGATGGTGTCGGAGCTTTCGACCTCCAGGGTGATAGTCTTGCCGGTGAGGGTCTTGACAAAGATCTGCATGCCACCACGCAGACGGAGCACCAAGTGGAGGGTTGACTCCTTCTGGATGTTGTAATCTGCGAGGGTTCGGCCGTCTTCGAGTTGCTTTCCGGCGAAGATAAGACGCTGCTGGTCTGGGGGGATCCCTTCCTTGTCCTGGATCTTGGCTTTGACGTTGTCGATGGTGTCGGAAGACTCGACCTCGAGGGTGATGGTCTTTCCAGTAAGGGTTTTCACGAAGATTTGCATCTGCAGAAACCAAAATATCATAAGAACAATATCATTTTAAATCAAAATTATAAATTACAGATCAGGAAATCACATAAAAAAATAAAAACCAATTGGGAAATAAATGCTTAAGAAATCAAAGACTCTATTTTTATTCAAGAACAAACCCATTTTTTTACCACCAGGATATTAACAGCCTAAATATACACAATAATTCAATCCTAATTTTCAAAATTTACAAATCACAAATAGAAAACACAATTTTCCTTCAAAATTACACAATTTAATACGGGGATATAAAATAATTTGCAAGATTAAATTGATCAACCACAACTCTCATATTAGATATCGGATACAGAATTAAATCTACTTATCAAAACTGACACAAAGGTTAATTTACTTTCAATTCGAAAAGACATGTAGATCAGAGAGTTCTATACAGGTAAACCCATAATTCGAAAAAATGGAACATAAAAATCAAAATTCCAGGCAAATTTTCTTTCCAAGTTTCTGATTTCGTATACAAACAGTCAAAACCCAAAATCCAATTTTCCTTCACTTTCCTAGCAACCAAACAAGAAATTAACAAATAGGAGAGAAAGAACGCACCTTGAAAGGCTGAAGAAGCTTGGAAAGAGAATTGGAGGAGGAATTTTCAGATTGTAGAAAAGCAAAACAACCGCAATTGTGAGGAAGCGAGGAGGCCCAGGCCTGGATTTATAGCGATAGAGAAGGCGACTTCGTCACGGAAACGGAGGTGGCGTGACGAAGCGGTCCAGTAGTTCAGCGACACGTGGATGGAACGAGGTGCGAAGGCGCGGGTTGAACGGCAAAGCTTGGAATCCACGCCTTTCCTTTCGTAATATCAAGGTCCGTGACCTCAAATGAGTCAATCCATTTCAAAAATTTGCAAAACTAAAAAAAATAGAGAAATTTGCAAAACTCAAAAACATAGCGGGGAAAAGTTATTCGTATATCATAATCAGCATTTAATTAATTATTTTTTCTTGATTATTAATTTATTAAATAATAAATTAAATTTAAAAATCTGATTAATTCAAATGATGTGGTATTCACATCAAATGTCAGTTAACGTAGTATAAAAATATGATGTAAAAATATAGTACGAATAACATTACTCTATCTTCTAAATAAACACTTTTACTTTTTTGTCCACTTGCTTTGCGGATTATTTATCATCCGTATAAGTGGCATTATCTTTGAAATATTTTTAAATTAAATACTCTGAATGTATTTTTTTTTTTTTAACAAACGATAGTATATATACTAAGAAGAGGAGGAGATTAGCTTTGTTTCATAATGGGTTAGTAATAATGTGATTCAAATTTTCCGTTAGCGAGAATCGAACCTAAAACCTCTCACTTACAAGTGAAGAGAAATAGCAAACTATAGTACTAAGTGATTCAGTATATTAAAGTTATATCTAAAAGTAAATTTCAAATTCTATTTCTAAAGCACAATATACTTTTTTTTAAGATTCCTCCTTTTGCTTTATCAACAATTTTATTTAAGTAGCGCATTTCCACGTAAAATTGTGATTAGTTTTTATTTTTATGCTTGAGATTATAACTAACAGTGTCCTATCTATACTAAATCTTTTGATAATTAGTATTTGTTTTGCAAAATTAACCTTTAGTTTTTTTTGACTTCTAAAAAGATGGGTTACGATGAGGAAGTTACCAGTTGGTCTCTTTTTAAGAAAAAAATGTACCAAGTTGAACTAATTAGTTAGCTTAAATGGTTGTGCACCATTTGATGTCGTTTATAAATATTGAGACTTCATTTGCATTGTATGTATTTTTTATTATAATAATCCTTCAATTAATTAGAGAAAAATTTACAACTCGTTTGAAAATATTTAAAAAAAAATGTATTTAGATTTCAAGAGACACTTACATTTTCGTTAAAAATTATTTCAAAATGCATTCATCAAAAATATTTTTAATTATTTTAAAAACACCTTTAAATTATGTTAAACTTTAAACAACGTTACTCGTTGGAGTGATGCCAAAAGAAACATAGTATTGTATTCCAACGTTCCAAGTGGGGTAGGTGGCTCTGATTTTATGAAAGTGGGCAATAATTATGTGGGGTTGGGATTTTTTTTTTTTTTTTTTTTGTTAAAGAAAATATAAGCAAGATAATTTGTTGAGTTGCGAGTTGGGGAAAAGGATCCTTGTCGGATTCTTTTTTTGGGTATCTTAGAAATTTCGTGATCGTAATTGTGATCATTTATTGTATATCGTGTCATCAGAAATCATTTTAACATTAAATATAAATAGTACCTAATGAAAACTAATCGCACTATGTATAATAAACGGTCACGATTATGGAATTCCTAGGAAAATGATCCGTCCTTTTCCAGGAGTTGGGACCAACAATATTGGATGTATCTAATGCATTTTCTTTTGGAAAAGAAGGGTTTAGGAAAAACATACTTAAGAAATATAATTACATTACTAATTATTCCAAATTAAAAAAATAATAATTAGAAATCATGCTAAAAAAATGAAAAATGTTGTAGCTTAATCTTGGACCCATCGGTAACGCTACCATTAAAATTTTCTATAATATCACCCTGCCCGACCTGATGCCACTGAAACGACCTATCATCCTCCATCACATTATGCTTATAGATGAAGAAATAGCTCTCTTGCATGTTTGATTCTTAAAGGCGTTCAAATTTTATGGATTAAGGAGAAAGAATCCAAGAACGTTATCCATTTATTATGTGATCTGCACGGATTTTCAAGTTTTAACATTTCAATTTTCAAATGTTTGTGGTTACCTATTTCAGGGATCTCGATCTCAAGCATACGGATTAGAAATGAATCCAAAAAATTATCTCAGATTAAATCCGCTTTTAAAATTATTCAGTGAGCATTTGATAACTGTTTCAGTTCCATTTTTTTTCACTTTTGATTCCATGTTATATTGGTACATGGATTCAAAACTTATCATAAAATCAAGAAAAATCCCTCGTGCGTCAAATGCACGATCTCTGTAACATTTTTACTATTAGAGTCATAATTTTCTATTAGAGTCATAATCATGTGATGTCATGTGTTTAAAAGAAAATTCCTCCATAAATTCTTGTAAATTTTGTGACCAATCAGATTACCATATCCTTACCTAATGACATAGACCAATAACAATTCAACGCATGGTTCCCTTGTATGTCCCATCTTGTTAGTTAAGAATATGGGGGCATGTTTACTTTCTGAAACGAAGAAAATGAATGAAACGGAAAGCTTAAAACTTTAAGAGAAAAAGGGAATTAGAACAACTAGTGCCTCTAGTCAATTGGATTCTTTATTTTTGGTTATTAACTACGAATTTTAAGAACTTGCACTTTTTCAATGTAGGTAAATGCTAGAAAAATTAAAAAGTGAAATAACTCTCGCACCCATATTTTAATAAATTTAAAGAATTCAAAAATAAAAATGATGCTAATTCCTATTTTTTGTAAGGAAAATGAGTCTTGATTGCCAATTTGGCCGGGACCCAAGTACAAGTATTTCCTTCGGGACTAGATTAAGAACATGTTAGAAAAATAAGCAAAAAGAACACATCGAAGCCAAGGCTTTTACTACATTTTTTTTTTATTTTTTTTACAGTGTAGAGAATGGGCCCAAAAGCCCCAAAGCATACAACTACCCTACAACTGATCCGGGGCTTGAAATTTACACGTGGCGGTGTGGTCGTCACCTTAAAAATTAAAAAATAATCTCCAGCCTCATAAAAGAAGAAGGGAAAAAAAATCTTAGTATGCTCGAATTTAAACAGAGTGAGCTGATAAAAAAATACAAGTACATGGTAGTCAAGTATACACAAGATTTCAGGAGTCTTGAACAGCATACAGTTGAACATGTCGCAGGAAAACTTGACCGTAAAATCTTTCTTATTATACGTCCGGTCCCAAGGCTGAGACACATCTGCCAACAACAACAACAAAACATTATCTCACTCATCAGTAGGGTGCCAACGAATAAAAAGAAATAAGACGAATGAAAGATGGGAATGGAACAAGTAGAAATGTAAGAACTCTTAAATTTCAGGTAGACGGGCCATGGGCCCACTCCCAACAACACCAATACTGTTCCCACTTGGCCACTTGCTCAATCCGTCAGATGTGGGGTTTTAATACAAAAAACCTTGGTGTTAGTTAGAGTGGGATAATTTTATATAAATTGCTTGTTCTCAAGCCTTCTGGCCAATGTGGGACAGAGGAATTCTAACACTCCCCCGCACGTGAGACCCCATTTTATGGGTCACAAGGGAAGTTCCACATATCAGCAACTACGTGGAGCCAAGTGGGGGCTCACCCGTTCACGCGAAGCCAATGGGGACCCACTCATTCACATGGCATCTCTTGACCTACAGTAGAGCCAAGTTGGGGCTCACCCATTCGCGTGGGGTCAAAGGGAACCCACCCGTTCATGTGGATGTATGGGTTTGTCCCCTGGCTCTGATACCATCTTAAATTTCAGATAAACGGGTCATGGACTCACTCCAACAACACCAATACTGTCCGCACTTGGAAATGCTTTTACCTATATTTGTTTCTCTTCCTGTTTCTCTTCCCTATATTTCATTGTCAATTTGAGCATACAATGGGCATCAAATGGAAATGCTTTTACCTCAAGGTCTCGTATAATTCAATTTAATCCATACAAATCTGGCCTTTATGAGTTATAACTTCCTCTATTAAAGTTTACAAAGTACAATTTGCTAATGTAGCGATTTGCAAGTAAAAATCTTAATATTCCGCCTTCCTCCACCACTCGGCTATTCCAACAAAAACATAGGTCATCTCTTTCGTGTCTTGGTCTAATTATCTTGTCAGTATTTGGAGAGCATAAGCTAGCATAGGCGACAAAATTTGCTATCTTCTCCGCTTGGATTCTTTGCGCATATCCGCAAGGTAGCTCTCCAAGTTTGCTTTTTCCCATAAACGTTTATGAATAAGATCTTCCTTTCTTGATTCATCTGACAAAACAAAACGATGATTAATAAGTTATGAAGAACCTCTTGGATGTAAGTGTGTAAGAAGTTGGAGCACGTAGGCCCTCGAACTCACAACTCAAAACCGTAATCAATGTAATAATTCTCCATTAAGGAACTTGATTATCCCCTTGACCTTGAGCATCATAGACTGTTTTTCTAAGGTTGTCAGGTCTTGAACGAAAGATTTTGTGTAGCCAAAAGTTCATGGTGAACTGCTAAAGAAAAACAAGGTTGGTTCTCATCCTAATGGGTGGTGATCTAATGTATCTAAGGTTGGTAACCCCAACCAAACTCATAGTGCCATTAGAAGAAAAGCAAAAGGAAAAACATTTAAATTTAAAGTTTATTTACCTAGATTTCTCCATCCGTCAATAGGCACACCAAGGGATCTCCGTGTCAGGTAGGAGGCATCATCCCATGTATATGGTGCTTTTCTCACATTGTATCTCCAGAACCAACAGCCACACCATAGTAATAGCTGAATCAACAAAAGACTAACTGGTAATCCATGTAATAATTAATGTAAAATCACTGTCTCCAAAGTAAAAGCCAGCATTTCTAGAATGACATGAAGGGAACTCTAACCTTGCCAATAGTGTAGGGCAGAAGTATGAAACGGACACCAAGAAGATCCCACATGGAGGGTTGTTCCGCACCGTTAATCTGCAGCTCCAGTTCGCTGCCGAGATCTTCTTCCACTTTCCTACGGAAAAATAAATAAATAAATCAAATCCACCATTTTTAAAGACAATTAGCCAATCATAAAATGCAGTTCATGATACAATCGATTAATCCGAGGGGATAAATTTCCAACTTTTAACAACGCATTTCATTATTTCCCTTTGAAAATGACTAGAAGTTCATACTTGTTCATCTGCCTGTTGCTCTTCTTCTTATTTGTAGTCCCTCCAGTACGCTCAAGTTCCAAAGCCCGTAGTCTATTTTTGTACGCAGGAGTCTTCTTGACCAGTATCTACAGCCTACAAAGGTATTAAACATCAACAATGTCACGGAAAACAACCTTTTGCAGGCTTCTGAGTCATAAAATAAATGATGTGTATGACCAAGTCCCGTATGAATCCACCAGAGTACGCACATACACTCATCGTAGTACAAACCTTTAGCACACGAGTAACAAGCATGTTGCGCAAGTATTTAAGAAATACACTGATATCCACAAGCCAAACATTAATGCATTGAGACACGAATATCATCCTGTAGGAATAATATTGATTTGCGACAGTACCTGATTATACCTTGTCCACTGATTTAGATACTGAAATGCAGAAAGAATCAAAAGAAGGCCAACCAGGACAGCCCGAGGATCCTACAAGGTGAACATATAAACAGCTTTAGAAAAAAGTACATAGAAATGGAGATGCACCTATCAACTTACAAAGTTACTTCTGAGCAGGCAGAATATGAAGTTATAATCTAAAGAAAGAAAAGTCTCTCACCGTTTTGTGACCATAATATGCTTGATAGTAGCGAGCCGTATTGTAAAATACCTAACAAGTAAAAAACATGATAAAGTTATTATCTTTCACAAACATCTAAGTTCACAGAACCCAAATTACCAATCCAAATTTACCATAGCTAACAAGAATGTTCTTGTTTCGTGTAGTCTCAATCCTTAAGTCTAAGAAAACCCAGTTTTCAGCCTATAACTCAATGCATTACTGACTAATTAGTTTATTTGTTTTACCTCCTCTGGATGTGCAATGGCATAATCATACTGCTCGCGCGACGCTTCGTCTTTCAGAATCTGCAATGTAGCAATTTAACTCCATTGTCAGTAGCACAAGACGGCAAACAAATCTTCAAAATTTGCCATCTTTTCCCACAAAATAACATGATCCCAAGTACCTCATAAGCGTTGGCAATTTTCACAAACAGCTTTTTCGATTCCGGATCCGGGTTTTTATCCGGGTGACTGATAATTCAACACCAAATTGTGAATAAATGTGATCAAGATATTGACTTTATATCAAATTTTATGCTAATTTGCAGAGTAAAATTATCACAGACTCACTGTTTCAATGAGAGCTTGTAGTAAGCTTTCTTGATTTCCGACGAATTGGCGCTCTGCGTAACCCTAGACGAGAAATTGAAACGTTAGGTAAATATGCAACCAATACAGGGGTAATTCGGGAAATCAAAGGGAAAATTATGAGGGAGATGAGCTGACCCAAGGAGATCGTAGCAGTCGTCCTCGTCGCAGTAGATGGCCATCGATGGAGTGATGAGCTGGAACAGCATTAGAGATGAAATGACCGCGAACCACCGAATCGCTGCCGGTGGCGCCATGGTTCCGACGGAGCTACGGATTTCTCTGAAAATGGATTCCGAGAGCAGGAGGGCGTTTAATGACAACTAAAATAAAATATAAGCAATAAAATAAGTCAACAGATCTGGATTTCCAAAAATATCAGCCGTCAGATTAGCATAACACCCATATGTGAAACGGCGTGTCGCTGTGTAAGAGTTGGCTTGGTTTGACCACCACCTTGGGTATAAGAGGGTACTTTGGTTATTACAATGTATAAGCAATATAACATAGAATCATGCATAGTTTATTTAGAAGTGCTTTTAAAGTTGCTAAAAACATTATTAGAAAAAATATTTTTGAGTTTCAAAACACTTGAAGTGCTTCCAACGAGAAGCAGGTAACTGATGTAGGAAACGCTTCACCAAAAACGTTTGCAGTTATTTTAAAAGTATTTTCAAACTAACTTGTAGTATTTTTAGGTTGATTGCAACAAACTTTGATACAAAAAACACAAATAACAAGAAGTAAGTATAAATTTTTTGCTTGTGATCAATCTCAAAATCATACTTGTATGAACAACAACGCAAAGCTAAAAGATATGAAAATAATTACGAACAAAACGATGCATAAAATACCGTTGATTCCACCACCAAATAACAAAAACTACATACGAGCCACCAATACAGATCCAACGTTATAGTAGAACATATACAAAATATACAACAAATTCAAACTGAGGTTTTGCAAACTAAAGCTAAGAAGTTGTAATGCTCATGGTTCTCATAGATGTGCAAAAGCTCATCCTGTGGCGTCCCTGGTGCCATGTCGAGCCCAACCACTATCTCACCCAAAAAGTTAGATCCAGTCGTCAATCCAAAGTGTGAGAACCGTTAAGATAGTTGGGATCTGAGAGAAATTGAAACCAAAATAAGGAAGAACTCTTCAGGACGAGAAGGATAAACACACATCTGACCGGAATCAGCTGCTATGCGGCAAAGATCCGGCCGAAACACGGGAAGGATAGGTAGGGTTTTTTAAACAGAATCTTTTTTTTTTCCAGCTCCAAAGTATGTAGTTTGCAGTGATAACATTCAAACGGTTTAACTGCAGTAAACTAAACTCTTTTGCACTAATTTATTCTAACTATATATATTTTTCGCCAGAATATTGTAAGATATTTTTGAAGTATAAAGTTTAACAAATTTTCTAAACGTTGGAGTGTGCGTACCATCTGTAAAGAGCATTTGAAATGCTTTATACAAGAAACACATGATACTTCTTGCAATTTGGAACACAAAAATATTTTGTCCAAAAGCTTTTTCAATAATTTGAAAGCACTTACAAACTAACTCGTAGACTTTTCAACGTACTTTTTACTTATGAAGTTTTTGTTGCCTAAAAAAAATATATAAAGAAGTAAAACAACAACCAACATTGATTGATCCTTACATTCTCATTATCACAACTTACAATGATCGATCCAAACGAATCGACTAATAATTTTGGATTCACGCTGAATATCAAATAGACCTTTAATTATTTCCAGCAAAGATAACCCTTAACTATACTGAACTGCTATACAACCTTAATTTCCATTTCTAATATAAAACTAACCTTAAAAAACAAAAAAATATGAAGCTAAGCTTAATTATACATAACATTTTTTTTAATTATATCAGTTCTCCCCCACATATATCGACATATATAGCCTAATAATTTACTAGCAAAATTCATCTGTAGTGGTTTAATTAATTACTAATTATACGACAAATCTAGGAAGACCTATTTTCGAACCCAGTTTTTGAACATCCTCTTGGACTTGCCGCCTATACTCCCCAAAGCTGAATTTTCTATAGACAGAAGGCTCCATGCAACTCTGTATCACCGTGTCATATGAAGGACATAAGAAATATGCAGTTGAGAATCGTTCCACTTGCAAGTTCGTGACAACTCGATGTTGAACGCTCTTGTACACATTGTTGCTCCATGCCTAGGCAAAGGAGAAAATAATAAAACTAATAAAAAATAACACAAGTAACTTGTATTAATTATATACATAAGAAAAAGGATCTTCTTTTGTCATCTAAACTTCGTTTTTAGATAAGAGCTTTTAATAAAAGCATTTATATAAGAAGTTACCAAATTTTTAATAAAAATACAAGAGTGCAATCTAAAAAAACACTAAGTACTAGAAGAAGTAGAAGCAGTACATAACAGTTGCTTCTTTCGAAAAACACTTGAAGTGCTATTTTTAACTCATAAACACTTTGATTTTTTTCTCCTAAAAAGACCTAAAGCACTTATGGATTATAGAAGCACTTTTTACAAAATCGCTTCTAGCAAAAGTACTTCCTACGAAAGTATTTCTAGATGTGCCCTATTTGTGTAAGCAAATATGATCCAGTATAAATGTTTGAAAAAACATACTGATGTGAACAAAAATTGAAAATTGACCTGAAATAGATCTCCAACGTTGATGACTAGAGCCTCTGGATTAGGTTTAACTGCGATCCATTCATCGTCTTTGATCAACTGCAATCCGCCAACCTGGTCTTGATGCAATATTGTGAGGAAATCACTATCAGTGTGTGGCATCAATCCAAACACCTCAGAAGGGATGGGGCACGGTGGATAACGATTCATTCGAAGATAGCAAGTGCCGGGAAAACAATTTTCTTGGAAAAATGTTGATTTGTGACCTATTTTCTCAGCCAAAATTTCAGCCAATTTCAGTGCCAAACTTGAAACTGTTGTAGCAAATTGTTCCATCGTTGAGCTGGATACATACCAATATAATTGAAGAAATTGACTTAGTTAGTGCCATGTAGCATATATACTTTATTATGATAAATAATTTGGAAAGGACTGAGAAGGTATATAATATACGAGAGAGGGGCCATGCATGCACTACGTACAGGGGTTTCACTTCTCAGGTTAATTTGAGAGTATAAAAACTGTAGGAGGAAATAATTATAATTAGTTTAATTTGCCTTAATAAATAATTCTACAACCACAAGTAAAGGTAAGGTAGAAAACTATGACAGCAAAGCTATATATATCTGTAATTTGTCCCTGACAGGGAAGCAATTCTGGCAGTCTATGATGAAGATATGTCAGAATTGATAGATCGATCTAGAACAAACGGGTACATTGCACACTGTATCTGTGCGCGTGTGTATATATAATGTTGCTGGAAATTTGGAAGAAGTACTGAATCACAAGATCTCTCAAACTGAGTTTGTGGTTCCTAAACCACTGCATGTGATGCACAAGCTCACTCATAGCTACTGAGCAGTCGGCTTCATCAACTTTTCCAATTTCCATGGGATTCATGGGTATGCAAAAATCAAACGCAAGAAAACTACAGGACCATATATATGTGAGGTGAGGATGTTAAGAATATATATGTACATCAGAAAGTGTTTTTTGGTCAAATTAATGTAAATTATAAAGACAAATCAGAGGGTCATTTTTCCCATTGCCAATTAGTTTTATGATTAGAACTTCAACTTCCTTCCATATATAAATTTTTTGCGCAAAACTCTATCAAAATATTGCATGCATTTGGCCAGGTTCAAATCGGAGACCTTTAGACTTGTGTGTGACACTGCTATTATATAATTTAACAATGATAACACACAAAATTATCATAAAAAGGCAATAGTAAGATGGAGATCATGCCGTATAGAGATGTCAAAATACAGAAATGAAATTCAACGAATTGATCAAACTGAAACTACTAACTATTGCTCCGGTGATACATTCATCTTTATATTAGAAAATGTCACATGTTCAATGATTTTTATAGTACATAATTTATTAACTGCAAGAATATCACTTGTTTATTTGATTGATGATTCCTATGGTTTTAGTGGATTGTTACGGCAGTGTTGAGGTTCCAAAGATATACAATTAGGATTACTCTTAAATTCAATAGTACCTGAGTGTATCATTTAACCTTCGTACGGTACTGTTTACCATTTAACCTCTAAGTTTGTAAATCTTTACCTGAGTGTATAATTGACACCAGAAGCTGATGTAGCAGAAGTATCGTTGAGTGGAATGTGAAAAGCTTCAGACCATGCTAACTGCCGTAGGCATGTGGCAGAAGGAGTTCCCCAACGGTAAGTTCCCGATAAAAAGTTCAAGCACTTGTCCTCTTGCCTCTTCTTATCAAAAGATTGCTTGAACACCTTCTCTTGCTCACTCTTCATCTTATGAAGAAGCTCTCCTGAAATCCCATGATTCACTACCTGAAAGAAACCCCACTCTTGCGATGCCCTAGCTATCTCCGTCATGCACTCCTCCCTCTCTTTTTCTCCTAGCTCCAGCCGCCCCAGATTGATCAGCGGCAGCTCACATTCCTCCACCATAACAAGCTGTTGTAACACCTCCTCGTTCTTCTTGTTGTTGATGTTGTTGGCTTTGTCGACGGTTTTGTCGAAAAGGGTCTTGTAGGCCTTGTAAAATGGTGGGTCCAAATCCATGCTTAGAAATTCAAAGACATATAGAGTGAGAGAGAGAGAGTGAGAGAGAGAGAGAGAGAGAGAGAGAGAGAGAGGAGAGGAAAGGAAGAAGGGAGAAGAGATTAAAAAGAGCTTGATTGACTTGATAACAAATAATTACGTGGGTTTTGGAGACAATGAGAAAAGAGGTTGAGTCAACACCGCGTTACTCTTGTTTCTTATGGTTCCCCTTCGTCGATCAAAACGTTATGGCGGTTTCCTTTTCCAAGTTTTGGAGTCTACACTAGTAGTTGTGTCCATGTCCTTTTGCCAGGCACTAGACATGGAAGTTATCTATTTTTTCTTTGTATTTTTTCCAAGAGTTTAAATGAATAAAATCATTCCTTTCCCAAGTTTTTCTTTGATCCCTTTTGGATTACTCTCAATGCTTGTCTTACATCACACTTAAACACCTCTTTCCAAGTTTTGATTTCTTGATTAATGGAAGTTTAGTTAAACCTCTGTTAGATTAGAACATGGTTAATATCTTTAGAAAATAATAATACTAGAGACACTAATTTTTTACAGTGTTGAATTTCTTATATATTATGTCTAAATAAGTTTTAAAATAGGCCCGAACAAAAAAAAAAATGAAATACTAACTAAAACAGTAAGTATCTTTTAATTTCACAAAGTGATTTGCTACTTGTCTATTAAAGGCAACACAAAAATAGTAGATATCTTAAAAGTTGGCGTCGCTAAACCCTATTAAAATTTGAGTATGTCTTCTTTAAAGAAGAAGAACATGTTGTACATGATGATCTAATCAACTGATTTGAGGTTGCAACTTACTTAAACAAAGAGTGGCCACACTTGGAGCCGTCGAATGGATTTTCCTTTGACCTAGGATTTTCAACCTTTTCACAATTTTTCCCAAACAAACAAAGAGAACAATTCCTTCAGATTGTATGAGCATTATAAATAAACTAATAAATTTGAGCAAAAACCGAATAGATAAACTTTTGCAACTAAAAGGAAAAAAAAAATAAAAAGACCAAAAAGAATAAGCAGATAACTTGCTTCCTAGCAGAAGAAAACAAGACACTGGTCGTACTAATCTGGCCACCACCGACTGTCCAAGCATCCATTACTTTGCAGTTAAAAATATATATAACATATAAGAAACATATCACGAACTAACGACTTCCGGTTGGTTTCAGGTTTTCCCTTTCAACTGCACCTTGATCGCAGATATAGCATTTATCATTTAATATGCGTCTCATGTTATAGTTAAGATACGAGTACGACCCATAATATGCAGAGAATTGTAGAACACTTTTAAAGGAGTTGTCAGGTAATTACTCGATTCTCTATACACCTATATAAACTTCTTTTTTGATCACACTGTTAATGCTGACCTAGATCACTAACTAAATATTCTCATTTGAATGTGTGATCCAAATTGACTATCTAATAAGACATTTTGAAACATATTGCAACAAAGCATTACCCTTATAAATTACTGCATCATTTTAGCTCTACTAGTATTGGATATATAACCATGTAATCAAGGTGTCATGAAGGCATAGTTGAATAATCTTTCATTTTGAGGGGATTAGAAATGAAGAAAACGTCTCCCTTTTTTATTCTATCATTTTTCAAGGGATTAAAATACATTTTCTTAATGAGCTATTCATCTTCGACAATGAAAATAGTGGTTTATTCATGTTGGAAAAATTAATTAAATTAGAGATTGTCAACACACCTAATTTTCTCTCTTCCCAACCCTTTCTCCTCAAACCAAAAACCCTAAACTCTACAATCCTCAGTCGTCGGCCCCTTACTCCGGCTTGGGGTTGGTGGCAGTCCTTCTCATCTTACGGATTATGAGCAATTTCGGCGGGTTTGTAACATTCTCTTCGTTTCAATTAATAAAGTATTATTCTTAGTTTAGTATTTTGATCATCCATTGCGTACTCTTGATTTTCAACTATTCCTTCCAATTCAATCTTTGAAAATAAATTAAATTTTGTACTCTGGCTTAAATTTGATAAATAATTTAAAATTCAGTGTACCTGGGTCCCACATTCCTTGGGCCCTAGTATATATTCAAGCCATTTTGTGAGACATATCTGATCTGCACGAAAATATACATTTTATCTCCAACAGAGAGGCCATGGTGGTGTGTTAAGCAGTACATACAATAATACAAGGTGAAAGAAAACTTTAAAAAAAAATTAAAAAAAAAAAAACACACTCGGTAAATATGAAAAATCTTAGCAATTAGTTAAGCATCTAAACATAATGTTGATGAGGAGAAATATAGGAAACCAGATCTAAGAGAGTATGAATTTTAATGAATCCTATGTAAAAAGGCTGACAAAACAAGAGAGTAAGAACTGGAAACCAGATATACTACTTCAAATATATATATATATATATCAAGATTATCATTCTCAATAAAGATGGGAGTAATTACAAATAGGGCACTCTGATCTATATAGTGGACAAGTATATCATACCTGTTCTAGAATCTTCATTGACATATCAGACAAACCTGTATGTGCTGCCTGCAGAAAAATAATATATAAAAATCAAATTATAAAACCACACAGTACTAATAAAAAATAAAAAATAAAAACTTCCCATAAAACTTAGGGAGTTTGACAAATATGCTTCTGAGAAAATTTTAACTCAAAAGTTGCATATTTTTTTCAATGGTACATACCATTAGTGGCAATAAATGAAATGGAGTTGATAGCAACCCTATTTATAGACAACTAAAGGCTACCATTCAATAGGTTTAACCCTTGCTGAGTGGTTGTAACCTCTACAAGAGGTGTAACCATTTATTCAAGGCATGTATCTCTTCGTATATTTATTGTATCCGGTTCACATATTGAAGCGATGTATCTCTTCATTATGAACCAATGCCTCTTTTTTTAGAGTCACACATCTTGATCATAGGTGAATCTTTCCATGTGAAAGTTCAATCACATAAATCGTTTATTCCTTCAAAAACTTGTAGCAAACTTCTCTTACAGCCAATGACAAAATAAATATGCAAATTTATTTGCATAGAGTCCTTAATTATTAGAAAAGGTTTAGATTGTGTCCTTAATTGCTAATATTTGTAGTTACAGTCAATTCTACCACTTCCGATGATATGGTTTGACAAAGTTAAAAGATTACTGCTAAATGCAATTAGTTGCATGACAATCCACGGAGATGTTGAAGTCGGTTTGCTCTTCCAAATTCTAATAGTTTATGAACGCAATTAGACAGATAGAGACTAGCTTAGTACTATTTTCAAGCATTATCCAACCTTAATGAACTACTAACATAAAACCAATGTTGAAACTTGAAAGCAATAAGATAAACATAAATAAATAAACATCAATAAATTAAACAACATATATAAATATTAGTGGCAGATATCAGATAAATATTCTGGGACGTCGGCACTGTTTCCACCTTAATCTTTACGAACCATGCTTGTATGTTGCACCAACTGATAGTATTACTTGTCGAGATGATCTTTACCCATTGGACCAAAAAACACCCATTGTACACGCCCTCATTAGCAAACAATGTAGTTTTTTAATACATAGTTAACAATGTCTTTAGAATATGGACTTTATGATTCACATCAAGGTATATGACAATGTTTTCGGTTTAACTTTGGGACAAAGGTTCAGTTTTTAAGGATTATTAGTAGTTATGAAAAGAATACAATTAGGACACACACGTGTAAATAAGGGTAAATTCGTTGTCCGATTCAAAGGAAATTAAGAATACATTAGGTCATGCTGCTTAGTACTATGGTTTAATTGTATTTCAGTTCACTTGTAAGTAAGAGGTCTTAAGTCCGAATCTCGTGAATGACGAGTTCACAACCAATTTATTCTTTCCACCCCCTTAGTGTAAATATATCGTTTGTCTAAAAAAAAGGAACACAATAAGTCATACTATGAATATAATTAACCGTTTTCTAAGAACAAAATCAGAATATAAGTTAACTTAATTTAGTTAGAAAAAATAGTTTGTAATAAATTCTTTTATAAAACAATAAATTGATAACAATTACTACCATGTCTTCTTGGATCAATTTGATTCCACAATGGAAAGGGGCATATACATATTTATAACTAAACATCAGAAGACAGACAAAATAAATTATCAGTGAAACTAAACCCATTAATTTACAATTGAAATTAGTTTATTCAACCCAGACAGAGAATTCGCAGGAGATTAAAAAATTCAATGCATGCATCTAGAATATATCGCAAAAATAATTTTCATACAGGAGGTCAAATAACAAAATCATAGAAAGCTGCTTACTTCTTTTCGAAAACCAAGAACCCCTGAGCTTCCAATTGCTTTTTATCATCCAAATCATCTATGCCCTAAGTTGTCTCACGTTTTTGGCCTCTATAATTCGAAGCAACTAGAAATTACAAAACCTTCCAAAATTCTGACTGCAGCGCATCGAATTCCTTGGTTTCCTCCAATTGGTATGCAAAACTCTCAAAGAAGAAAGAAGTGAGGGTTGAATGCTACCCTCATATATACAAATAGAGATATGGAAAAGCTTAGAATAATGAAGTGGTAGCCATGGTGCTAAATTCTTCACTTGTACAAAGGATAAGGTGGGTTTATGCTTAAGTCTAATAGAAAACCAAAGCTTGAGACAGTGCTTTAATCATTTCAAGCAAAAACTTTATAGCGTCGTTCAATCAACTATTCTACATGATTTATACATTTGGTGTTAACTTTTTCTAATCAAACTATTTAAAAAAAAAAACAAAACAGAAATGACATTGATTCAACCTGTCTATGAGATGGTAGTCAAAGTTTCACCACTACAAAATCCACTTGGATTATTCATGAAAATAATGCAATATTAGGTATACTTACACACTGTTATTATCCATGGTACATTTTGGAAGCCTTGTAAAGATCTTCCATTTATTATGATGCATGATGTGAAAGAAATATGCCCCATATATAGCGTCTCAATGAGGTGAAGAAAAAAGTATATGAAATGGGTGATTGGAGAGACATGGACGAATGAAAACCAATAATGAACTTAAAAGCAAAGTTGAATAATGCAAGACACGGCTGAATATGCACCAGAAATCTCTCTCAACACGCACTCTACACGCAGAAACAAAATCTGTGAAAAAATGGGGATCAAACAAGGCACATGATTTGTACTAAAAAAAAAAAGAAAAAAAGAAAAAAAAAAAAGGGGACATGATTAGCACCGGACGGACCGAACTGAATTCAACTGTAACCTTTGCAATGCTGTCGGCAAAGACGTGGCAGAACCTAGAGTCACAGACTCAGAATCCCGGTTTACATATTTGCGTCAGCATTTTCTATTTTGGCCATGCATGTACTGTGCTTTATTTGAAAAAGCATCGAAAAGGACACATTAGCCTATGTTTCATCATATATCGTGTGATCAATTTTCCGTTAAGTATCATTTGTGTTTAATTTTAAACAAAAAAAAGGTTAAATGATTTCTGACCATACGATACAAGATAAACGATTAAGATATGAGGATCTCCAAAATCTCCACAATTTAGATCTGGATGAGATCCAATTCTGATTAAAGTAGGGTGGTGTTAGTAGTGTTATATACATAACTATTTTTACTTTTCACACACTACTCTATTATTGATTTAACATGTGTTAATAAACGTAAGCCTTCTTAAATTTGTTGTCATAAATTTATCACACGTCAATCAATGATAGAAGTTACAAAGAGAATTCATACACAAAATAAGTACATAAAATTTGATCTCCTTACTTCTATAAGCGCGTAACTGAACGTCGAATATTGTTACTTAACAAAATTTAATATATAAATTAGATAAACATTTATATTCTTAGCCTTTATTTGGTTAAATTCTTTTGTTTGCACTCTTATTCTATTTCCTTTTATGTACACCGCCCCTTCCACCCAAAAAAAAAAAAAAAAAAAAAAAAGGCTTTAAATTCCATCTGCTTCATGAGTCATGCCCGGCGCGGTATTTTGATAAGATAAATGCTAACAAGACGGTTAAGTATGATTTTTTATATAATTTATGTCACCTTGCAGTTTAACGTTAACATTTTTGTCAACATTATAAAACATTGTGTCAAAAATATGAATTGACAGATAATCTGTGAAGTGTTCTACTTTTGAAAGAATCTCCTTAGTATTGCTCATTGAATAAATGTGGAGGCAGTGACGCAATAATTGAGTAATGTTATTCATACTATATTTTTATACCACATTTCAATACCACCTTAAGTGGCATCTGATGTGGACAGCCACATCATTTGAAAAATCTGCAAAACCCAAGGAAAGAAAGGAAAAAAACTCCTTGTATACCATAATCATCATTTAATTAACTAGTTTTTCTTAATTATTAGTTTATTAAATAATGAACTAAATTAAAAATCTGATTAATTCAAATGATGTGGCTGTCCACAACAAATGCCACCTTAGTATGAAAATGTGGTATAAAAACATGGTATGAATAGTATTACTCGCAGTAATTTCTATAGTGAGTCAAGGAATTACAATATATACATTGGGAATGAAACATCATTTACTTCTCGTGTTTGTTTATATAAATGGATAATTTACATTAATTTATTTGCTTTTTGTGTGAGAAGTCACATTTTCTCAAATTCAAAAAGTCATATGAATTATCATTTATTTGCAAAAGAGGTTAAATTCTTTGTTTACTAAGTAAATGACATGGTTAATAGATTTAGGCATCATATTAATAAATAAGTACATAAATTATAATATAAATAGTTTGATAAGATTACGATAATATCTAGACATTATTTCGTACATACAAAATGCCAAACATGTTCTTATATATTCATTAGCAGAATTGGCAAAGTGGGAAAAAATTGATTAGTTTCGTACTTTTAATCTTCTAATGAGTCTTTCACTTATAATTGAATAGAAATATTATTAAATTGTAGTACGTACGTTTTGATCAAAAGAAGAAAGAATAGAAATGGAATGGGTTTAGCATGTCATGTCATGTCCTTGGTGGAAGCTTTTTATTTTTTTAAGATTCGTTAAGTACAATCTGTATGTCTTCGTTATATATGAGGCCCAATGGGTGCTGGTCTTTTCAGTAGTAATACAACTTAGCAAAAACGTCCATGCCCATTACAGATTTTGAAATTTTAACCATAATTTAACATATATATTTTCAAATAATTTAAAAAACAATCAAAGCAAATAAATCCACATGATAAAATAAATCTTTAAATTTGCTTCTATATTTTATTGAATTTACATTAATTAAGAGCCTATGTACAACAAAAAAGTGGATTGCTATAGACCAGCTACATACAGTTTACAGAGTTTTTCATACAAGTTTGTGAGTGATGGTTGTTTAATTGGTATCTAAGGTACCGTTTGGTATGTGGGACGGGACAGAATAGAGTGGAACAAGGCATTCCGTCCCACGTTTGGTGAGCCTAAAACGGGTGGAACGAGCTGTTCCACGGGACAAGTTTTGGGTGAATTTTCGTTCCACCTCACCTCCTAGGAACGACTCATTCCACATCCTTGGAACACAAAATTATAACATCTCCGTATCCTTCTTCTTCCTCCTTGTTTCCATCCGAGGGCATCTTAGCTCCCGCTCCGTTCCGTCCCGTCCTGTCCCGTCCTGTCCATTCCGTTCCGTCCAGTCCCGTCTGCATACCAAACGATGCCTAATGTCACATCCCCGTCCGAGAGGGAAACCACTTCCCCGACCCGCTCTACCATCGTAGCACGATATTGTTCGCTTTAGGCCCCGACCACGCCCTCACGGTTTTGTTTCTGGGAACTCACACGAGAACTTCCCAATGGGTCACCCATCCTGGGAGTGCTCTAGTGCGCTACTCGCTTAACTTCAGAGTTCCCATAGAACCCGAAACCAGTGAGCTCCCAAAAGATCTCGTGTTAGGTAGGGATGAGAATATATATAAGGATCACTCCCATGGGCGATATGGGATCTTACAATCCACCCCTCTCAGGAGCCCGACGTCCTCGTCGACACACCACGACCAGGATTAGACTCTGATACCAAATTGTCACATCCCGCCTGGGAGGACCACTTCCCTAGCCTGATCCACCACCGTAGCACAATATTGTCCGCTTTGGGTCCAGACCACACCCTCACGGTTTTGTTTCTGGGAACTCGCACGAGAACTTCCCAATGGATCACCCATCCTAGGAGTGCTCTCGTGCGCTACTTACTTAACTTCAGAGTTCCCATGAAACCCGAAGCCAGTTAGCTCCCAAAAGGCCTCGTGCTAAGTAGGAATGGAAATATACATATAAGGATCACTCTTCTGAACGATGTGAGATCTTACATCTAAGGTGCAATAATAGTTGGTGGTGATGTGGCTAAAATGTGAGACTCAAAAGTCAAAATTGAGTACGATTCTTTTGAGCAAAAGTAGAAAGGGAGGTGGTGCAACACAATCTAAGTGGTAAAGTTACTTTTATCAAAGCTCAACTCAAAGTTAACTGTAGGCATCAACAATAACTTTAAGCATATTTGAGATAAAGGTGAACCTGATTTAAAGAATTGTCTGAAGCACAAGTCACCAACACTAACCTGAATGCTGCATTTGAACTGCTGATTTATTAAATGGCTTGAATGTTGGAACCGTTGATTCCCATCACAAAGAATTTAGGATTCTACGTTGTCACCACCACTGATCTAAGAATATACTCAAAAAGTTAATAAAAAAAAAAAAAAAATCATCCTAATACAATACATAAATCAAGGCCCAAATCTATCTGCAATTAATTGAAAATGGTCTAATTATATTGGAATCATGTTTGAAGCAAGATTAGCACTTCACTCCCACTACTTCGCCCACCACTCTTTAAATACCAAATTCAACTCGAATAGAATCAATAACAGTCCCAGAAGTTTAAATTCCTTACCTTGAGTAGAGAGGGATTGGAAAGACAACGGCACGAAGTTTGAGCCTGGAAACAAAACCCTCAAAATTAGAAAAATTACAACAACAAAAAACCCTGATAATTACATTACATATTTTTTCTAATGCTATGCTTTGGTTCAATCGAGAAAGCGACACCACAATGTAGAAATCAAGAAACGAAAAGCGAAAATGGGTATTTCTTTCAATCCTTGGGTATCCAGAAAAATCACCAGAAGATAAATTTCTTTTGTAAAGAAAATTTTAAAATGTAAAGTATGATAAATTGCTTACCGCCCGTAAAGAGGGTTATGGAAAACGCGCGGATGGAATGTTGGTGCATCGCGGTTCACGTGTGTACTGTGGAGCGAGTCGCAGATTTGCTTGAACTTGTTGTGGCGGTGGTCTGGGAGAACTGGAGGAGAAGCAATTTACAAAGTTGGTGGTGGTTTTGTTATTAAAAAATCTCGTTGAAGAGGAAGAAGGCTGTCGAAAATTGGGCAGTAGAGCAGGAAGGGAGACGTGGAGGAGATTGGGATGAATATTCGGCCGATGGTGTGAAAAAAGGTTGCTGCTGTCGAATTCCAGAAACCACCGAGAAAAGGAGGAACGACAGCTCATGCACAAAGACACGTGTTAACGTGGGACAATTTCGTCCTTTTACTGTGCACCTGAGAAAAAACAAAGAACAATTTGAACAGAAAAACGGGGGTAATTCCGTCATTACACTGTTCAGAACGTTATGGCGGTTTCCTTTTCCAAGTGTTGGAGCCCACACTAGTAGTTGTGTCCATGTCCTTTTGCCAGGCACAAGACGTGGAAGTTATGTATTTTATCCTAGAGTTTAAATGAATAAAATCATTCCTTTCCCAAGTTTTTCTTTGATCCCTTTTGGATTACTCTCAATGCTGTCTTACATCACACTTAAACACCTCTTGCCAAGTTTTAATTTCTTGATTAATGGAAGTTTTGTTAAACCTCTGTTAGATTAAAACATGGTTAATATCTTTAGAAAATAATAATACTAGAGACACTAATTTTTTTACGGTGTTGAATTTTTTATATATTATGTCTAAATAAGTTTTGAGATAGGTCCGAATAAAAAACAAATGAAATACTAACTAAAACAGTAAGTGTCTTTTAATTTCACAAAGTGATTTGCTATTTGTCCGTTAAAGGCGAGACAAAAACAGTAGACATCTTAAAAGTTGGTGTCGCTAAACACTATTAAGAATTGAGCATGTCTTCTTTAAAGAAGAAAAACATGTTGTGCATGATGATCTAATCAATTGATTCGAGGTTGCAACTTACTTAAACAAAGAGTGATCATACTTGGAACCGTTGAGTGGATTTTCCTCTGACCTAGGATATTCAACCTTTTCACAATTTTCCCAAACAAACAAAGAGAACAAGTCCTTCAGATTGTATGAGCATTATAAATAAACTAATAAATTTGTGCAAAAACCGAATAGATAAACTTTTGCAACTAAAAGGAAATAAAAAGACCAAAAAGAATAAGTAGATAACCTGCTTCCTAGCAGAAGAAAACAAAACACTGGTCGTACTAATCTGGCCACCACTGACTGTCCAAGCATCCATTACTTTGCAGTTAAAAAATATATATATATATATAACATATAAGAAACGTATCACGAACTAACGACTTCCAGTTGGTTTCAGGTTTTTCCCTTTCAACCACACCTTTATAGCAGATATAGCATTTATCATTTAATATGAGTCTCATGATATAGTTCAGATACGACCCAAAAAATGCGCAGAATTGTAAAAGACTTTTAAAAGAGTTGTCAGGTAATTACTCGATTCTCTATAAACCTATATAAACTTCTTTTTTATCACACTGTTAATGTTAACCTAGATGATAACTAAATTTTCTCATTTAAATGTGTGATCCAAATTGACCGTCTAATAAGATTTTTTGAAACATATTGCAACAAAGCATTACCCTTATAAATTACTGCATCATTTTAGCTCTACTAGTATTGGATATATAGC